TTAGGTGTCAGTGCTTTCTTTTGACTCTGAGTATTTACTTCTGTCTTTTCCTTCCAGCATTATATATTAATCAGTTAGCAAAAGACTTAATTTAGTTTACTCCTCTGACTCCTGCAATATTTATTTTGTAATCTGTCTAAGAAAAATCTTAAAATGGAAACATGCCTAATCTTTGTAACTGTAGTTTACCTTTCTTCTGTTGGACTAGCTCCATGCTGGAATTTCATCCTTATTTTCACACTCTATCTCTTCCTAACTCTAATGCTTCTCAAAGGAGCCAAACTTTTCTGCTTCCTTGAACATTTAAAAATCCAACTGAGGGCCGGTGGCTCATGCCTGTAGTCTCAGCACTTTGGGAGGCCGAGGTGGGCGGATCACTTGAGGTAAGGAGTTTAACACCAGCCTGGTCAACATGGGGAAACTCCATCTCTACGAAAATATACAAACATTAGCCAGGTGTGGTGGTGCACGTCTATAGTCCCAGCTACTTGGGAGGCTGAGGCAGGAGAATCGCTTGAACCCGGGAGGCAGAGGTTGCAGTGAGCCAAGATCGTACTACTGCACTCCAACCTGGGTGATAGAATGAGACTCTGTCTCGGGGAGAAAAAAAAAAAAAAATTCCAGTTGACCAGAGGAGTTGGATTCACAATAATAACAAAATGCTATTTGCTTTGCAGGATGATCCTTCAAAAACAGCTTCAACTCTACGAGGCAATTTCTATATCACTGGGGACAGAGGGTATATGGATGAAGATGGGTATTTTTGGTTTGTTGCAAGATCAGATGATATCATATTATCCTCTGGGTAATTTTCTTTTACATATGTGCATATTGTCTGTGTTAACTGGTGATCAGTGTTCTAGAGTGAACCTGTCACTCACCTGTATATATTCCTGCCATGTGTGTTTCTAGTTATCGAATTGGACCATTTGAGGTAGAAAATGCCCTGAATGAACACCCTTCAGTTGCAGAGTCAGCTGTTGTCAGCAGCCCAGACCCCATCAGAGGAGAGGTAAAAGAACTGATTCATGTCAACTTTATAATTTGTTGGCAATTTAACACATACTTACGAACAGTAGCTCAATGAAACAGAATTAACCAAATGATTCATTCACTAAGTATGCAAGTCAGATAGAAATATGCTAGTCAGAAAGAACTGCAACAAAATAAGATTGAATTATGAGTTGTAGCTCTGATCCTAACAGACAAACAAACAAAATAAGGCTGAAAAGATGTACTAGAAAGAATTTGAATTCCTTCCATGGTGGACTAGGGCAAAGATGGTGTGAATGTCAGGCTCACACCAGGATGGGTTGACCGAAGTCAGCTGGATGGGATCAAGTTGTTACCCAGAAGGTCTGGAAACCAACAAGGTCCTGGTGTAGTGAGGGAGAATGGGCTGGCATCAGATGTTCGAAGTGGGAACCAGAGGCCAGAACTGAGGTGACCACAAGCAGTCTGGGTAGGTAAATAAGTCTCTACTTATTTCAGGAAATAAACTGTGAATAACACAAGAGTCCTGAAAGCCCATTCCTACTGGGGCTGACCACACAGTATTTTGGCTTAAAAGTACCATGCCAGGCAACCTCCTGTGTTTTGCCTGTGTGTCTACAACATGCCCCTAGGGTTTCTCTAGGCGAGTTACAAGTTCCCACAAGTATTTCTTCAATCCATGTCACTTCTAACACTGAACCCAAGTTTTAAAGATGATATTCATGTCAATACAAATCCAGAACTTTCTGTACCATATATTCAAGCTCCTTATCTCAAATCCTAGGTATAGGGCTTCAAGCACAGGGCACAGGGCAGAGTTAGAAGGTATCCAATCTCAGGGGATGAAATAGGTCCTCAAGTTTAAGGCAGGCTGGGCATGGTGGCTCACACCTGTAATCCTAGCACTTTGGGAGGCTGAGGTGGGTGGATCACCTGAGGTCAGGAGTTTGAGACTAGCCTGGTCAACATGGTGAAACCCTGTCTCCACTAAAAATACAAAAATTACCCAGGCATGGTGGCACATGCCTGTAATCCCTGCTACTTGGGAGGCTGAGGCAGGAGAATCACTTGGACCCAGGATGGGGAGGTTGCAGTGAGCCAAGATTGTGCCACTGCACTCCAGCCTGGGTAACAGAACGAGACTCCGTCTCAAAAAAAATAAAAATAAAAAATAAAAAAGTTTAAGGTAAAAATGGGAGATGTGCATGTTACAGTGGAGGGTGGATCTCCCCCAGGAATGATTCCCCTAACTGATCTTTGATGCCAGAAGATACCCTGTAAGTCCTCCTGGATGGCCCAAAGTTGTTCCAGATATAGCCCAGTGGCTGGGAATTGGTAGTTTGTCAAGGTGCTAGGATAACAATCGCTATTTACTGTGAAAGGATATATTCCAGGCAGCTAAGGACAGGGGAAACAGTCAGTGATTACTGGCTTGTCTCTTTGCTCTGAACACCACCGGCAAGGTTTCATGAGTCTTAGCTCTTCCTGTACGTCTCCCCTACCATCAGTCATCATCAGTTTTACCCACCTCAACAGGTGCTTACTTGGGACAGGATGGTAGCTGAGCCTTTCGGAACAGGGTTGGCTTGGCAGCCACCTGATGTCCTAGAATACAGTATAGGAAAGATCTGTAAGTGGGTTGTGGTCCCCTCACAGCTCTGGGGTCTTGGCATAGGGCTTGGAGTAGTCAGAGTGAGGGGGAAAGTGTGGCCAGTTTCCCAACAGTGGTGGGCTGCAGCATTTCCTGGTAGAAGATGTGAGTGGGTATCTCAAATGAGGTGTGCATGAACAAAACGGCCTTGTGCTCCATGCCTCCCTTTCTGCTGCCAGGCCTATTCTAGCTGGGTTAGGTCCTTCTCCAGGCTGGGTCTTGCCAGGCAGGGTAATTGGGTAGCAAGTTCCAGAATTGATTAAAAAGAATATTTGGATCTGAAATACCATTTTAACATTGGAATGTGAAATAAAGACTTGAGGAATATTTGTGTAGATCACTAGGTTCTTAAATTTTTGGGATCACATACCTCTTTGAGAATTTGAAGAAAACCACAGGCCACTGTTAAGACTTATGCGATGATGGAAATGTTCTATATTTGCACCATCCAATGTGATAGCCATGCAAGGCTATCAATCACTTGAAATGTGGCTGGTATGACTAAGAGTATTTAATCTTATTTAATTTTAATTGATTTAAATTGAAATAGCCACACGTGGCTAGTGGCTATCATATTGAATGGCAAAGCCATAGACTTTTCTCAGAAAAATACAAGATTTTGCATAGAATTTCAGAGAGATTTGAAGCCCACTTATGCATTCTGGGTTAAAAAATAAGACCCAAACTTCTTGTAATTCTACGACTACAACTAAGAGCTAATGTTTTTGATGACTATGTGCCAGGCATTATACATCTATGCTAATTCATTTAATCATCATAATCTCTTTTACAGAGAAGGAAACTGAGGCACAAAGAGATTACCTAACTTGTCCAACATTACATAACAAACTGTGACTTGAACCCAGCTGTTCTGACTTCAGAGTTCATACTCTTACCCATATTAGGTTGTTCCTTGTTAATTTAACATTTTCTGTAGTAATTTACAAAGATAAAGGAGACTTTATCCAAGTTGTAGGAATCGTCAATATGTGAACCAGTATTGCAGTTTTTAAAATAATTTGCCTTTGAATGACTCACTTATAACAAGCGTAATTTTTTAATTTGTAGAAATGTTAATGCAGCATTATAGAATTTTGACATTTTATAAAATGTCAAAAAATGAATGGAACAAAATTATATCCATAGACACAGACACAAGGGTTCACAACTGCCCCATGATACATGTAAATTAAAAATGTTCAAGTGTTGTTGTTATTTTTTCCTTTTTTTTTTCTTAGAGACAAAGTCTCACTCTGTTGCCCAGGCTGCTCTCGAACTCCTGGGCTCAAGCAGTCCTCCCACCTCTGCCTCCCAAATGTTAGGAGTACAGGCGTGACCCACTGCGCCTGGCCACAAGGGTTTCGGGTAAAGACAAAAATGGTTAATTGCTCATAAAATGTCAAATTGCCCACTAGTGAACAGTTTTCCATATGTGAAAAAATTATAACTTCAAGTCTGTTTCTCACCAAATGGCTGCCCTAATTTGTTTCACATAATTCCTTTTCAATCAAACCTTTACTCCTAGATCAAAGTGGATAGGAAATGTTGCCAGCTTATCTTTAAATAAGATTTCAGGCACTTTAAGTGCAGGATATTTAATTATAAAAACGCTTCAGGGGACTCTCCCAGAACTGTGCCTACAGGGAAGCATCATTCCATAGCCAGCTGTGAGCTGGTAATCTGGCTTTGGAGGTACCTACTGGTCGATGCACCTAGACTCATGCCTCTAGGGAAGGCAGTAAATGGCAGTCCTGGTAGTGCCCCAGGAGAAAAAAAGGACAAGACTCCAAATTTACCTTAAAGGGGGCTATAAGGGATGGCCTATCTTTCTGTCTTCTCCATTACAGGTCCAAAAACTAGGCAGAGTTTTCAAAACATTTCTAGGAAGGATAAAATTTGGAAAACAGGATTTGTAAGCATAAAGTAATAACGTCTTTCTTGGCTTCTACCAGTTAAAGGCCACCATGATTTCTACTCTTGTTCCTAAGGGCCATGGAAATGGATCAGAGCAACAAAAAAGTGGCTGCTGGAATCTTCACAGCCTTGTATAAAGACTGCATGTTCTCTGTGAACTGTTACCTTCAACAAAGACATGGCAAACTCGGCGTGACTACTGTTTATAAGTAATCCCCATGCTGAGGGCTAGGCTGGACCAGGCTGGGTTGTTATAGGGGTCCCAGAGGCTCTCCTGTATTAGGTACAGACCAGGAAATGTGTGAATTAACTGGTTGGCTTAAGAGCACAGATCTGGGATCAAACTTTATTAAAACACACTGGCCCACCCCACCAGGCATGTAGATTCTCAGAGCAAGCACACAAGACATACTAAAACATACAAATGCATAACTCATTTTCCTGGTGTTTCAAATATTTATTTTAGGTAGTAAAGGCTTTTATTGTTCTAAATCCTGATTACAAGTCACATGATCAAGAACAACTAATAAAGGAGATTCAGGAGCATGTTAAAAAAACTACAGCACCTTACAAATATCCCAGAAAGGTAGGCATCCTAATTATAACAAATATTTGCTCAGTGTTATGGAAAATTTCAACTGTTTATTTTTACATTTTAATGAATATTTTCTTCACACATGCTACACCACATGTCCCAAACTGAACTGATGACATATGGGTAAGAATCAGAATCTTTGAGATTAAAATGAAACCCTGAACCTATTTTGTTTGATCCTTTGGCTTACTGGACTTGCAGTAAATACTTAATATCAAGACAAGTTTCCTAACAATACCCTTTTCCCTATTTTGGTTGTTACCCAAAACCCATTCCAAAGACTATTCTAATTCTTCCACCTAGAATTCATAATCAAACTGCTATATAATTGGCTTTATGTAAATATAAAAATTTCCAGGCTAATTTTCTTCCTCTTGATGCCAACAGGTAGAATTTATTCAAGAGCTGCCAAAGACTATCAGTGGGAAAACAAAAAGAAATGAACTGAGGAAGAAAGAATGGAAGACAATTTAAATTTGTTTCATTAATTACCATATCTATAAAACAAACATAGTATCTGTCAATCTCTAGAAACCACAGGATGATGGAGACGTGATAAAAACTGTGGTAGTATGCTTAGAAACTGTTGATTTAAAATATCTTGTGGTTATGATATCAGAGGCTAAATTTTGAAATAAAATATTTGGCAAATTCCTCTACATTAGTGTCAATGTTCCTATCATTTCTTAATATAAAAATGTCATCAATTGCTGATTTTTAAATGTATAGTATAGAAGCAGTTTCTGAACCAAATCTCTGCTACATAGGTTTTCAAACTTTAGTTGACTAATTATTCTGATATGTTGATATACAAATCAGAACCAATATTCAAGCCGTGAAATAAAACTAAAGAACTTATAAAAGTGTTTAGAAAAATATAAAATATCAGAAGATTATGATAATTCTCAAAGTACAAGAATCTACCTGAAAATAGACTAGGGATTTTTATTAGTCACATTTTTTGCAAATAATTTAAAAATAGTTTAAGACTTGTTTCAAGGTCTAACTATAAAAGAAGGATCATATACTATTGTTGCTTATTATATGTAATAAATACTGTTTACAAAAGATTACATTTGTGGTTCCTGAAGAAAGTATGATAAATTCAGTAAACATTAATATATAAAATAAAAATAAAATAGTGTAAGATGTTATCAGAATACTCATGTTTGGAAATTCAAGGAACAATTAGGATTCATACATGAAAGGTTATCAATTCCTCATTGAAGGCCTGAGTCTCAAAGAATTTTTGGTGGAAATATTTAAATTTCTGTCACAAATATGGCTCGTTTCTGGTGAATTAAATGTGACTCCCCCTGTGGAATGAGATGGAACCATGCTGTTGGCTCTTTCCTTTTGAAGTGTTTGTTCCCATTTGAAATAACCACAACATTTTCTGTTTTCTTGGTATTTCCCAATAGGGCAACAATAGAAGACTTTCCCGTGGTTTGGTCCATTATTAGAAACAACAAGTCTCTTAGATCTTCGACCACACTTGCATAAGGGAGGTGTCATTTTCCCACTCTTCCAAGGCTCTTGTAGGTTAACTGTAGAAGTCAATATAGATGGGAGACGCTTCCAGGAAGAACTTCTTACTGGGGAGCAATCAGATGATGTAGGCTTTTCTTTATGAATAGTGAAGGGTTGTTTTTTTGCTGGTGGGAAAGCTTGGGGACTGCATGGATTCCTTTTGGTACCACCTAAAAGAACAGAATGTTTCCCCAAAACTAAAGGATGAGACATATTGGCATTAACTCTGTTGAAGGTACCTGATTTGTGTTCAGGTAACTTAAAGGCAGAAATATCTGAACCTGGATCTTTGGCTTCTTTTACATTATAAATAGTAGTGTGGGGACTCTTGTACACAATAGAGTTAGAAGTCTCAGATTTTTTAGGAGTTTCCTCTATGTCTCCAAAGTTTTCATGACTTGGCATTTCTAATTCTTTCAAAACTATTAATCCTTCTCCAGAATTAAATGAAATCTCTAAGTCTGAGTCACTAATGGGAACTGTACAGTCTATGTTTTTCTCAGGCTGAGACGCTGGCAGTAAAACCACATCCTCCCAATCAGCCAACATAGGTAAACAGTCCAGAGTAGAGCTCATTTCCAAATCAGAAACATGATGAACAGTTGGAATGGTGGTAGAAACAAGTACCAATTCTGAACCAACTGTTGAAGACTTAGATTTGGTATTAAATGCAATATGTTCATTTTTTCCTTGCTTTTGCATATAGATAGGTGAATTCAAGGTAGGAGACTGCAACTGCCCCAGAGAAGTAGAGGACTTAGTATTAAAAACAGATAAGCAACTTTTGACATTGTGAAGACTTGCTTTTACATTGTTCTTTACTTGTAATTGATCCTGTTGTGCCTTTATAGGAGAATTTGCACAAATTGACTTCATTTGAACTTTTTCATGAGGATTTATTGTATTTTTAGGCTCATTATTATATATGCTGGGACCCTGGATGCTAATGGTACAGGCAGACATTTCTTCAACTTGATTTATATTCAAATTTCTGGCCAGAATGCTGGAATTCTTCTTAGTGGGAACCTATGATTCCACAGACAAGTGCAACAGCTTTAGAAACTGTGCATTCATAATTTCTTCAGTATACAGTTTATGACAAAAAAAGGAAATGTCATTGATTTATAAATGACTGCACACATTAAATCTACATTTCAAAGAACGTATGACTTTATGAAGTTTGAGAGGATAGAATAAAGAGGCAAGACACTACTAACCTTGTTCAATGATCTTGTAATTTTCATGACACAACCATCTCTGATCATTTTCCAAGCAAGAAGGGCAGTATTCCGAGAATCGTCCAACCCTGACGATATAGATATCAAACACTGAATTTAGTGGTACTAGTACTATTTCCTTAGTACTAAATAAGTAACATTAAAAAAAAAACACCACTTGTGCAGAAACTGGAACATAGTTTTAGTTTTATGACCCTCTACTAATTTTAATAATGATAAACTGGTCTTGGAAGTGGAAGGCTATGGCAGCATTACCAATGAAAGACAAGCTCATCCACATTTATAGAGGATATGAAAATGTATTAGACAATCTCCCAAAATGTGGCCAAACATTCGTAGGAACCAGGATTTGTGAATAATCTAATAGTCTTGTTCAGCTTTTTCACTAGTCCATTCTATTATTTGAGCACTTGTTCAATCTCCATTTGATTTGGCTCTTTCTTTTCATTCTTTTTAGCAACTAGAAAGCCACTAGATGGCAGTGTATCTTACAGTAGTTTATGAAAGTGGTAATTTGAAAGTCTTAGAAAACACAATGTGAATTGTTTAGGAGCTTTTTTTTTAGGCTGAAGATCTCCTTTACTAATGACATTACCAAAAAATGAAATTCATATGAAATATTTTTCAAAAGTCAAATGGCTTACATAATTTTTAATTTATACTAACCAGAATGTTCTCGTCCTGAGAATTCTATTCCTACTTCCTGCAAGGCACCACTTAGTCCTTTTGGTTTTCTCCTATAGAAAAGCTAATCAAATAAAAAAAGATATATCTAAAAATATATTACTATTTTAAAGGCTATGTATTAACCACTTTTCATAATTTTCAGTTCTATTAGATTTAGAGTGTGCTCATTTTTTTGTGTGTTGTTTTTAAATACTTTAAGAAATGCACTTATGTGACCAGTGCAAAAGAAAATATCTTATTTGTAGAAACCCATGCCCATGTGTAGGATAAAAGTTAATCATTTTTCAATAGAAAAAAGTAAATATGCTCTGATTTTTGACCGTTACCTTGTAAGTTGCTCTGAGATCAATCCAAGAATTTAAAAACACAGGTTTTAACAGCTGTTTTCTTTTACACTCATACTCCAGGCAAACCCCCAAGTCCCAGTCTGCATTAGGTACATTAAAATAGAACAAAGTCAACGATGCCAGCATTTTTTACCTATGCTGCCACCATTTACAAATAGAATGCTGTAAGATCATATAAAATAGAACAGTAAGATTTCATTGCTCTGCTAATATCTAAAAATTATTCACTTTATATAACTTACTATTAACAAGTTAGGATTGATGACTAAATTTCAAAATGATTTCTTAAACACCCAGTAAAACCTTATTTCAGAAAGAAAAGATGTTAAATTACAAGGACTACATTTTCTATATTCCAGGAAAATATTAATGTTATTGAGAAACAAAACATTTTGTAGTAACTGAAAACCAAATATGACTATCAATGCTATGCTATCAATAACACAGTATTGCTATCAATGACTATTAACAGCAATGCTCTAACACAGTCATACAAAAAACCTACTTTAAATGGCTCATTTTTTTTTCTTTTAAGTGTCAAAGCATAAAAGCAAAGGATGTTGAGCTGATGAAGACTCTGTAGAAAAGAGCATGATAAGAGTGTTCACTAAATCATCTGCTTAATTCATAATAGTGGAACTCTAGAAAGATTTTTTATTTTAAGTTCAGGCTTAATATTTTAAGGTATTCCAAAAGGTTAATTTAAAAAAATATGTATGAATTTACTTTTCTTGGCTAATATCTGCTAGGCATTTAAACTTTTCTTCCTAGCCCAGAAGACTAACAAATATAATTCTAGGTTAGCAAGTATAAAACTAGAAAGACGGAATTACATAGTGGTAATGCTACCCATTTGTGATTAATAGGTATAACTTATTTTTTACCTGACCAAGTAACAAATGCACATAATTTTACTTCAGAAGTAGAAGGCTCTGAAACCCCAGTAGCAAAAATAATGTTCTTCTGTTGCTGAATCTTATGAATCCATTTACAGAACTGAGATAAGCAAATCTTCAGAGGGACTCCTTCATCAACTTGAGCCTGAGTAGAGTCACAAAAGCTGAATTCAACAATCAAATTCCATGATTATTTAGCATGTTTTATAACTGTGGAGAAAGATTAATGGTTTTAAAAGATTCAGAAATGCCAAGTCATGAAAACACAGTATACTGTGGGAAGATATAACAAAGTGGTTCTAACTGGAGAAGAGTTTATTTAGTGGAAAGAGGTAAAAACACATGGGAAAGAAATTATATTTAGAACCCACCAAGGTAAGAAAGATTAGATTGATAAAAACTAAAATCACAGAGAAATATGATCATTAAGCCCAGACTGACAGAAATGAAAGACAAATTTGAGTCCCTTAATTTCCATAAAATCAATTTGATCCTCATTTTTATAACACTATTCTTCCTTTGCTTTTTATTTATTTAATTAAAAAAAAATTTTTTTTTTGAGACAAGGTCTTGCTTTGTTGCCCAGGGTGGAGTACAGTGGCAAGATCTCAGCTCACTGCAACCTCCACCTCCTGGGTTCAAGTGAGTCTCCTGCCTCAGCCTCCCAAGTAGTTGGAATCACAGGTATGTAACACCATGCCTGGCTAATTTTTGTATTATTAGTAGAGACGGGGTTTTGCCAAGTTGGTCAGGCTGGTCTGGAACTCCTGACCTCAGGTGATCCACCCACCTTGGCCTCCCAAAGTGCTGGGATTACAGGCATGTTCGTTTGCTTTTTAAATCGAGTCCTGAGGTGGCTCACGCCTGTAATCCCAGCACCTTGGGAGGCGAAGGTGGGCAGATCACTTGAGGTCAGGAGTTCGAGACCAGCCTGGCCAACATGGCAAAACCCTGTCTCTACTAAAAATATAAAAATTAGCCAGGTGTGGTGGCATGTACCTATAGTCCCAGTTACTCAGGAAGCTGAGGCATGAGAATTGCTGGAACCCAGGAAGCAGAGGTTGCAATGAGCTCAGCCACCTTACTCCAGCTCCAGCCTGGCCGACAGAGCATGACTTTGTCTGAAAAATAAATAAATAAATACACAAATCGAGTCTTGAATCTAGAATAACACTAATCTTATTTATTTATTTACTTATTTATTTATTTATTTTCAGAGACCAGGTCTGTCACCCAGGATAGACTGAGATTATACCTCCCTGCAGCCTCAAACTCCTGGACTCAAGTGGTCCTCCCACCTCAGCCTCAGCCTCCCAAGTAGCTGGGACCACAGGCACATGCCACGAAGTCAGGCTAAATTTTCTTTCTTTTTTTTTTTTTTGTAGAGATGGAGTTCTCACTATGTTGTCTAGGTTGGTCTCAAACTCCTGGCCTCAAGCAATTCTCGAACAGCAGCCTGCAAAGTGCTGGGATTACAGGCATTAGCCATCATGCCTAACATTAAATAAATCTAATTCCAAATGGTATAATAGCTTTTATTTTCTTTTTGAAACTGACCTCTGAATTTGAAGATTTGCATCATACCTGCTTTATGCCTGTCAATTCCATGCAAAATTCTGAAAGAATTGGATGTTCCTGAGGTTGAACATAAGCCTGGAACTCAGATTCAATCTGTCCAGTTGATGTGTTCAGCAACACTGCTGGAAATTCAACTAAATGAAAGAATAATCAATTGACAGTTGAATAAATAATTTTTAAATTAATCCTGTAATCATCGTAAATTAAACATGTTACCATTTTAATTAAACAACCAGTTTTCAGTAAAAGCATACTAAAATGACCAAAGCAGTGTGACATAAAGGTTATAATAAAGTTATGCTACAGAATAAATCAAAATATTGAAGTCATAAGCATGTTGTCTTAAAAGAAAACTCAATATAATTAAATATAAAAACCATATGGAATATAAAATTTACTTTTTTTGCAAAGGTTTTTTTTTTCAGTTTCTATGCCATTGAGGTGTTGTATGTAATATAAAACAACTATTTTATATAATAACACATTTAGGTATTTGGGATTTTGCTCTTCTTTATTCAACACAGGTTTTACATTAAATTACCAATGCACAGACCATCCTGTTTTCTTAAACTCTTGGCTGATTTATATCTATAAACTTTAAAGTGACTCATCTAGTGCCAGCTTTGGCCATTCGTAGCCCAGACTTACTTATTTCCTGGCTATGGTGGCGCTTCCCATCATTCCAGCATGTCGATTCAAAATCAATGACAATTAAGTAGTCAAACAACTGCTCTGCAAAAGATCAAGTTGTTCTTATGCTTTACCAGTGGTGAAAATGCAAAGCTACAAAACGCAAAGAAACTAAGCATACTACTCACTGGATTTGCTTCTTCCTAGATTTCCATTTGCTGGAGCAATTGACTTTCTCCTAATTAATCCAAGCTGCCTAAAAATGTGAAGCAATCCAAATATGATCAACAAACTCATTCACACTCCTATTTGAATAGGCTACCAGACTAATGGTACTGGGCAAGAATGTCATTATTTATTGCGACTGAGGGGAAATTGAACTGGACTTTGGGATTACCTGCATAGGCCTCGAAAGTATATATTTGCAAATTAGGCTAATTTGTTGGTTTTGTTTTTGAGACAGGGTCTCGCTCTGTCACCTAGGTTGCAGTGCAGTGGTATGATCACTGCTCACTGCAGCCTCAGTCTCCTGGGCTCAAGCAATCCTCCCACCACAGTCTCCTGACTAAGACTATAGGTGCGTGCCACCATGGCCCACTAGCTTTAATTTTTTTTCTTCTTTTTTTTTCTTTTTTTGTAAAGACAGGGTCTAACTGTATTGCTCAGGCTCATCTCAAACTCCTGGGCTTCAGCGATCCTCCCACCTCAGCCTCTCAAAGTGCTGGGATTACAGGCCTAAGCCACTGTGTCCAGCCAATTTACACTAATTTTATGTTACCCTTATTTTATAGTAATACTGAGGAACTTATTTGAGTTCCTACAATCATTTGATTGTACAGGTAAAAATGCACTGAAAATCTTATTTTTCCCCCTGCATTTTTTAAGCTCTTGCTATGTGTACGGTGCAGTTTTAAGAAGACAAGACAATGTAGGACATGGTTCAGTCTTGCAGCTTAAAAATCTGGGTAAAGAAACAAAAGATAGGGCCAGATAAAGTGGTTCATGCCTGTAATCCCAGCACTTTGGGAGGCCAAGGCACGTGGATTGCTTGAGCTCCAGAGTTCGAGACCAGCCTGAGCAACATGGTGAAACCCCGTCTCTATAAAAATTATAAAACCTAGCTGGGGCATGATGGTGCACACCTGTAGTGCCAACTACTCAGGAGGCTAAGGTGGGAGGATTGCTTGAGCCCGGGAAGTGGAGACTGCAGTGAGCCGAGATCATGCCACTGCACTCCAGCATGGGCAACAGAGTGAGATCCTGTCTCAAAAAAATTAATTAAATAAATAAAATAAAGAAGAAAAAAAGAGACGAGATTACTGAGGTCTTAAGTGCAAGTAAAACAAACTATTTGGTATTAGTAGGTAGAGTTTTAACTAGGCAGACACCTCCTATAGTTTTCTGTGTTTAAGAGAGGGAAGTGCCAGGATTTGGGAACAATAAATATCATTTATTAATTGCTTACTACGTAGCAGGTACTAAACTAAGATGACAGCCTCCTTTAATCCTCAGCAAGTGTAGTAGCTAGAAACTTTTCCTACCTATATTTTATGGATGAGAAAACTGATTCTTAATTTGCCAAGGAACACAGCTTTGGTATGTGAACCCAAGACTGTCCAATTCTGAAGCTCATGCTATTTGCTAATATATTACATCCTTCTAGTAATCAGAAATATGCACAGCACGTCCAGGAATCAGGGAGGACACAATGATTCATATTGTGAATTAAAAGGATCACTAGGCCAGCCACGGTGGCTCACGCCTATAACCCCAGCACTTTGGGAGGCCTAGGCGAGTGGATCACCTGAGGTCGGGAGTTCAAGACCAGCCTGACCAACATGAAGAAACCCCGTGTCTACCAAAAATACAAAATTAGCCGGGCGTAGTGGCACAAGCCTGTAATCCCAGCTACTTGGGAGGCTGAGGCAGGAGAATCACTTGAACCCGGGAGGCGGAGGTTGTGGGGAGCTGAGATAGCACCAGGGCACTCCAGCGTAGGCAACAAGAGCAAAACTCCGTGTCAAAAAAAAAAATAAAGATAGATCACTAGAAAATAGGTTTGTAAAAAGTAAAGTAGAGGTTCCTCTTCAAAGACTTCCTTCCCCATCTAATTAGGAATAAATAGTAACTTCTCTTAGAGCAAAATTTATTGAAAGACCTGTGCTAACATTCTTAAATATCTGATAGCCATAATAAAGAAATCAATGTATTTTATGTGCTTAGCTCCCACAATTTAGCCTAAATATTTGCCCTGGCATGCTTATACTGGTCCAATCAAACATTAGATCATAGCCTGTTCCTCTTCCTTATTTAAAAGTGTTTTTATCTTTCTCAGCATTCCAACAAGTTACTTCCTCCTTCCTTTGTTCTCCTCTACCTTTGCCTCTTCTAAAAAGTTCTAAGTTGCTAGTCAATCCGGACAAACACAGAATGTGAGGTCCCTTTCCAGCCAATGGAAACCGGACACAGCAGTAGGGTGGACGCGCCACGTTATAAATGACCCTGTCTCCTTTATTCAGTGCAGTCTCCTGGCAAAACTGCTGGCAAGTGTACCCTTTCTGCAGGAAGTAAAAATGACCTTACTAAATAAATTAAATTTAAGTTCAAGTTCTATTTCTTTACAGCACCGAGGAACGAGCATTTCAAACAGGCTGAACACCTTGATGGGTTCAGTGTGGCCTGCCTGAGACCTCCAACTAGTCTGCAGGGCACTGTCACGTCCAGTCGTTTCCCGAGGCCTAAAATGGACAGGCACTGGCTCAAGGCCACACAGTCAAGACCTCAGGGTTTGTAGGCCTCCTCCTGTCACCCTCGGGTAGAAGGCGGCCCAAGGCTGAAGACCGAGGTCCAGGGAGGCGCCTTTCCAACCATGCCAGGGAGGGCAGGTCGCAGACGCCGGGGCTGCAGGTAATGGAGGCCGTCACCGCAGATGCCACCTGCCGTGCCCTGCTCTGCCGCCCACGCCAGCGCCGAACCCGGAGCTACCCGCCCCCCACCCGTAACCCCCTCGAGTACCGCGCGAGCCGCTTCGTCGCCATTCCCAACACTCCCTGCTGTTCCAAGTCCAGCTGCCGGAAGTCGCTCGACTTCTACTTCCGGTCCGTTCAAACCGCCCGCGAGGCTGAGAGGGCGGTTGTTGTTGGCGGCTGTGGCTAAGGTGGGGACAGCCTCTGCTCCCCGCCCGGCTTCTCTTCTGCGTTTCCCGGGCTGGGAGGTGGGGGGAGTGGTTTTAGGAGGGGAAGCCGCTCGGCAGCACCTCCTTCTTTCTTTACCAGGCAGACGCCCGTTTTAGCCGTTGGGGAACCGTTGGGAATCCGGTATCCGATGCGGACGGTAAAGCCGTTTGGGTTAGAGCGGCGCGGGTGTCCAGTCTGCGAAACGGGGAGATCGTTGGCACCTTTGCTTTTTTAGGGGGACGGGGATAGTCCGGTAAACTGAAAGCCGTCAAGCCCGTGCAGCTCTCTCGCTAGGAGGCGGCACGCGGGGGATAGGGGCGCTGGAGTTTCCCCAGCTCTAGCTGATCTTTCTCCACAGCCATGGAGCCAGAGAGGGAAGGGACCGAGAGACACCCCAGGAAGGTCAGGAAAAGGAGGCAGGCCCCAAACAAGCTCGTCGGGGCGGCTGAGGCGATGAAAGCCAGTTGGGATCTCGAGGAGAGTCAGCCCGAGGCCAAGGTGAGCAACGTGGAGCCCAAGCAGGCGGCCCGAGGCGGTTTGGAGCTCCCGGACCCTCGCCCAACCACCGTCGGGTGCCCTGGATGCGTGCTGGGTCTCCGCCCTGGCCTCTCCGAACCTGATCCCTGATCATTAAAATAGGAATGAGTGTACAACCACCTTCCTGCCACAAGGCTGTCATTGGCGGTTTAAAACTGGGATAGTGAGTCGGCCGGGCGCCGTGGCTCATCCCTGTAATCCCAGCACTTTGGGAGGTCAGGAGTTTGAGACCAGCCTGGCCAACATGGAGAAACCCCTGTCCCTACCCCACACACACACCCCTAGCCGGGCGTGGTGGTGGGTGCCTGTAATCCCACCTACTTGGGAGGCTGAGGCAGGAGAATCACTTGAATTCAGGAGCAGGAGGTTGCAATGAGCCGACACCACACCATTGCACTCCAGCCTGGGCAACAAGAACGAAATTCCGTCTCAAAAATAAATAAATAAATTGGCCGGGCGCGGTGGCTCAAGCCTGTAATCCCAGCACTTTGGGAGGCCGAGATGGGTGGATCACAAGGTCAGGAGATCGAGACCATCCTGGCTAACACGGTGAAACCCCATCTCTACTAAAAATACAAAAAAAATTAGCCGGGCATGGTGGCAGGCGCCTGTAGTCCCAGCTACTCGGGAGGCTGAGGCAGGAGAATGGCGTGAACCCAGGAGGCGGAGCTTGCAGTGAGCCGAGATAGTACCACTGCACTCCAGGCTGGGCGACAGAGCAAGACTCTGCCTCAAAAAAAATAATAATATAAATAAATAAATAAATAAATAAACTAGGATAGTGGGCTGGGTGCAGTGGCTCATGCCTATAATCCCAGCAATTTGGGAGGCCAAGGCGGGAGCATCATTAGAGGCCAGGAATTCGAGACCAGCTTGGGCAATATAACAAGGACCCCATCTCTTAAAAAAAAAATAAAATAACACAGTGCCTGGCGCATAATAGGAATGTTCGTCCAACAAATATTTATTGCCATCTTCTCAGTGCCAAGAATTGTTCTATATTCTAGCAATATCCTGGGACACAAAAATACAATTCCTTGCCCTCCTGCAGTTTACATTCCAGTAGGGCAGGGGTCCCCAACCCCCTGTGCACAGACTGGTACCTGCCTGTCCATGGGGTCCCCAACCCACTCTCCACAGCTGGCCTGTTAGGAACCGGGCCACAAAGCAACAGGTGGTGAGCGGTGGGCGAGCAAATATTACCGACTTAGCTCCACCTAGGCATTAGATCTCAGGAATGCCAACCCTATTGTGAGCCTTATTGTGAACTTTGCATACGAGGGTTCTAGGACTAATGATAAATGTGATGCACTTGAATCATCCCGAAACCATCCCCCCAGCCGTTCTCCCCGTGGGTGGAAAGATTGTCTTAACACAAAACCGGTCCCTCGTGCCAACGGTTGGGGACCACTGCAGTAGAGGAATAAAAAGGCTGATTATCGGCTGGGCGCAGTGGCTCACGCCTGTAATCCCACCACTTTGGGAGGCCGAGGCGGGCGGATCACGAGGTCAGGAGATCGAGATCATCCTGGCGAACACGGTGAAACCCCGTCTCTACTAAAAATACAAAAAAAAAAAAAAAAAAAAAAAAAAGCCGGGCGTGGTGGCAGAGGCCTGTAGTCCCAGCTTTTCGGGAGGCTGAAGCAGGAGAATGGCATGAACCCGGGAGGCGGCGGAGCTAGCAGTGAGCGGAGATCGGGCCACTGCACTCCAGCCCTGGCGACAGAGCGAGACTCCGTCTCAAAAAAAAAAAAAAAAAAAAAAGCGTGATTATCGCTATCATCCCCTACCATTTATTGAGAACTAAATATACTTCATCCCTTTAGTCGTTCATTGGGCTTTTTTGTTTTTGTGTTTGAGACAGGGTCTTTGCTCTGCTGGACTCAGGCTGGACTACAGTGGTGCGACAAGGATCCTCCTGTCTTTGCCTTTTACAGGCATGAGCCACTGCACCCAGCCATTCATTGGTTTTTATTGTCTGCCATGTGCTGGGGCACTGACCTAGGTGCTTGGGGTACATCAGGGAATAAAGTTCACTGCCCTAGTAGGTCTTATATTCTAGTGGGCAGAGACAAGTGATAAAAATAAGTTATATAATATGTAAGAGCGGGATTAGGGATGTGAATTTTTTTTTTTTTTTTTTTTTTGAGGTGGTCTCACTGTTGCCCAGGCTGGACTTAGCTCACTGCAACTTCCGCCTACCAGGTTGAAGTGATCCTCTCACCTCAGTTCCACCAATTAGATAGGATTACAGACATGTGCCACTGCGCCAGCTAATTTTTCTTTTTTTTGTACAGACAGGGTTTTGCCATGTTGCCCAGGCTGGTCTTGAACTCTTGGACTTAAGCGATCTGTCCACCATGGCCTCTGCAAGTTCTGGGATTATAGACATGAGCAACTGTGCCTGGCCTTTTTTTTTTTTTTAAAGAGTGACAGGGTCTCCAACTCCTGGGATCAAAAGATTCACCTGCCTCAGCCTCCCATAGTGCTGGGATTACAGGCATGAGCCACCGCACCCAGCTGAAAAATTTTTTTTATTAAAGTGGGATTCCAGTTTTTTTGCCTATCGAATTTGCAAAAAAAGTTTAATGTTCATGTGGTAAGAAGTGTAAGGAGACTGACAATCACATATTTTGTTATGTTGAAACAATCTCAAACTTACAGAAAAATTGTAAGAACAGTATCAAAACCTCCCCTCAACCAACATTTGAAAGTAGTTGCTGACACAATGGTCTTTTTCCATCCACCGCCAAGATATTTTATTATATATTTTCTATAAACCTACATAATCACAGTGCAACCATCAAAATCAGGAAATTAACATGGATATATTACAACCATCTGCTCCTCAGATGCCATCCAAGTTGTCTGTAGGTTGTTTGAATAAGATTGTTTTTAGCAATAAGATCCAGTCTAGAATTGTGTTAAATTTGTCATGTCTCCCTCAAACAGTTCCTTAGTCTTCTCTTGATATTCATGACTTTATTGCTTTTGAATAATCCTGGGCCAATTATTTTGTTGAATGTCCCTTAAATTAGATTTGTCTGTTTCTTCATTGATTAGATTCAGGTTATACACATCTTTAGCAGGAATATCACAAGAGTGATACTCTGCTCCCTTGCAGATTGTACACAATTTGATTTGTTACTGGTGATATTGACCTTGATAACTCGATTAAGGTAGTTTCTACTAAACTTCTCTAAAGTTATCTTTTTCTTTTTGTAATTTTCATTCTTATTTATTTTTTTGAGACAGGATCATGCTATATTGCCCAGGCTAGTCTGGAATTCCTGGGCTCAAACAGTCCTCCCACTTCAGCCTCAGTGTAGCTGAGATTACAGGCCCAAGCCACTGTTCCCAGCTCTCTTTGTAATGTGCTTCCTCAAACATTTTGGGCTTATGCATTTACTTTTTTATCAGTATGAACTCAATGGTACCTATTTTGTTCAGTGTGTTACTATCTTTTACTGGATTGTGATGCTTTAAATATCCAAGATTTTGTCATTAAGCTAGCTTCTGTGGACTTTTGACATGACAACACCATTCTTTGAGCACATCATTACTTTCTGGCACAAAAAGATATTCCAGGCCCATATGTGCTTTCCCTGGTACCAGGTCATCTTCCTTTGTGAGCACCCTCATCCTATGACAGGTAGCTGCCACCATCCTCTCATGTTTATACCCTCATCCTGTTCAGGCTTTAAATCCTGCAACAGACCACTACTGTCCCTCAGCATTGATGCCCTCCTTACCCTAAATAGTTTCTGACATCTGATATCTGGCCTCACTGCCCTCCCTTCCTTCCTGTATGGGTGACCTCCTTGTGCTGCTGAGGCTTTGACACCCCACACCTGAGCACCCTCCTGCATGAATGTCCTGGTCTTCTGCTCCTAGTCCTGGACTGTCTCCTCTGCAGGACACCCTCACCCAACTCCGGCTCTTGACATCCCATGCCTGGTAACCAGGGTTACTCACCACCGTATAGACTCCATCTTGCTCAGTCTCACCTTTTTAATTTCATGTTTTTATTTGGTAAAAACAAACTGGCATATTCTTTCAAGAGTTCATTTGAACTGGCAATTGATCCTAAGAAAGTAATTAGATAGATGTACAAAGGTGTCTGTACAAGGATGTTCATCATAATGTTGTTTGTAATTTAAAAAACAAAACAGTGTTATCAATAAGGAATTTTTTTCAGATATATTATAAATTTTCAGGTAAATTTAGAAAATGGACTGTTATTCAAGTATTAAAATTGATGTGTTATTTTTTTTTTAACTGATATGGAAAGATACTCACAGATTAAGTTCGGGAGTAGGGAGTTGGTTTCAAAAAAGAATGATTGATAAAATCCACTGGGGGCTATATAGTATAGAGATAAGCCTGCATTCCAGTCTTGGTTCTGTCATCTGTCTGTTTCTCCAATTTATCCGTGAAATGGGGATAATAGTAGTACACACTTAAAAAGTTGTGAGAATTAAATTATTTAATGCATGTAAAGTGATCAGAACTGTGTCTGGCTAATATAAGAGTTTAATATTAACTTAAGACCATGGGAAGAAATTAGCAATAATATCTGATGTTTATTAAGTACTTGTATCAGGCACTAGCCTCAGTACATTGTACTTGAACTATTTCATTCGTCCTCCCAATTATTTAATGAAATAAAATTATAATTACTCTCTAGATGAAGAAACTGAGTCCTAGAAAGGCTATGGCACTGGTCCAAGATGATAGAGCCTGGTGTTTGAACTCAGGTAGTATGACTCTAGGGCTTGAGCTTCTAATCGCTATACTCTGCTGCTTCGCAGACCAAAAGGAAACTGGTGATTACCTTTGAGTTGTACTTTTATTTTAATTATCTCTGAGGTGACTTTTATTTTTATTTCTCTATTGTGTATCATTTATTTTACACTTCTCTATTATTGAATCTTATATAACAAACACGAATTACTTTAATAAACAAATATAGGCTGGGTGTGGTGACTGTAGGTTGGGCGTGGGGGCTCATGCCAGCACTTTGGGAGGCTGAGGAGAACAGATGGCTTAAGCTCAGGACCAGCCTGGGTGACATGGTGAAAACCCATCTCTACCAGAAATACAAAAAAAATTAGCCAGGTGTGGTGGCACACATCTGTGGTCCCAGCTAATGTGTGGTCCCAGCTACTCAGGACACTGAGGTAGGAGGATCACTTGAACCTGGGAGACAGAGGTTGTAGTGAGCCAAGATAGTGCCACTGCACTCCATCCTGGGTGACAGAGTGAGACTCTATCTCAGAAAAGAAAAAACAAAAACAAGTATAAGTTCAAAGCCTTTTTAAAGGGATTGGGAGCTTGACTGAACTCTTGTTGCCCAGGGATAAATTCTCATTCATTAGCTTAGGCTGCATTGATCTATGATCTGACTCCTGCTTCCCTCTCCTTGTACCTCCACTACTATGCAACATGCAATCTTGGCTCCTTGCCAAGCTATACTACATGTTGAATGTGATGTTCCCGCCAACAGGGTAGACTCATTTTCAAGGCTTAGCCTCAGTATTTTCATCTCAGTAGCCTTCCCCAAACTCTCTGACCCCTAAAGCAGTTAGACTCCTTGTTCTCATACCTTTGTATTAGCACTTACCCACACTATGTTGGAATTAGCTATTGCTTTTTCCTCCTAGTAGAATGGACTCTTTGAGAGCATGAATTATGTTTTATTTATCCTATTCCTGGCATGTAACCAAGTATCTATAGTTCAGATTTTGTGTCAATGATAGTTCAATATTTTATTAATAATGTCATACCTACCACATATTGTTATTTTATACCATCATTTTCAATTAATTAGAACTTCCTTATGTTAGAATATACCTGGATGTTAAAGTAATCAGAAGCTAGAATAATTTAATAACTCACTTTGTTGGTATTCTTGATAACCAATAATTGTTTGCTATGCCCTGATTAATCTTTGCAGAAAGCCCGCTTATCTACCATTTTATTTACTGACAACTGTGAAGTAACCCATGACCAGCTGTGTGAATTGCTGAAGTATGCAGTTCTGGGCAAATCCAGTGTTCCAAAACCCAGGTATGAAATGAACTTAAATGGTGGGTATTGACCACAGGTTTCTTTTTTCTTTTTCTTTTTTTTTTTTTTTTTTTTTACCTCTCCCAAGGCTCTATCATTCAAACCAGAGGTTTCAAACTGGCTTATCAACATTATTTTTTTGCTCTACAGCACGTCCTAAATTTTTTCATGATGTCTGCCAAGTGTTAATTCTGGAAATTCCTATATAAAAATCTACCTTTTCTTCTTCCCAAAACTCAAAAATGGCAGCTATCCCTATATTCCCACATGGCAACAATTTGTCAAAGCTGAGTGGTGGTCTCCCCCATTATATGGGACATGTATACTCCAATGTCCTACCTGGCCTGCTTCCCGTATTTACAGTATCTGTCTGGCTACTATAGGTATTTTAGTTTGTTTCACCTGATGCAGACTCAGTTGAAATAACAATGATTTGTGAAGAATTCTAGTTAATCTTTTTTCTTTCTTTTACAAATAAAGGACAAAGAGAGCCCAGGCAAGTGGCTCACACCTGTAATCCCCAGCACTTTGGGAGGCCAAGGTGGGAGGATTGCTTGAGTTCTGGAGTCTGAGACCAGCCTGGGCAACATAGCGAGACCCAGTCCCTACAAAAAAAAAAAAGAGAATCTTACTATTTTGATATTGTTGGTGCCATTATTAAGTGTCTTATGAAAAATATTTTGTATGTATACAAATAATACACACATCTTTCAGGGAGAGGTTGTTATGAATTGGCTAGCTACTTTGAGAACTATCTTCTCCATCAACAATTACAGCCATCAGTCTGTCAGTTTATCTAAAACTTTTTTTTTTTGGTAGGTTTTATGTCTCTATTGCAACTACCCAACTTGGCCATTGTAGCCCACACAGACAAATAAGCACGACTGTAGTTCAATAGTCTTATTTACAAAAACGGGTGGAGCAGGATTTAACCTTTTTTTTTTTTTTGAGATGCAGTCTCGCTCTGTCACCCAGGCTGGAATGCAGCAGCACAATCTCCGCTCAGTGCAACCTCCACCTCCCAGGTTCAAGTGATTCTCTTGCCTCAGCCTCCAGAGTAACTAGGATTATAGGCACACACCACCACTCCCAGCTAATTTTTTGTATTTTTTTTTAGTAGAGATGGAGTTTCACCATGTTGCCCAGGTTGGTCTTGAACTCCTGACCTCAAGTCATCCGCCTGCCTTGGCCTCCCAAAGTGCTGGGATTACAGGCGTGAGCCACCGTGCCCGGCCAAAACTGAAATTCTTAAAGCCAGCCATTTGATTACCTGGCTTAGGAAGGACTGCAGAGTAGGTTGGGATCTTAGGGATGACTTTGTTTGATTCCAAACAAATCTTAATCAATAGGACAGTGAATTTAAATGCATTGTGTTTTGCTTGGTATTTTACTTGATTTGAATGCAATAAGTATTTATCTCTATGGATCTTTATTTGAATTCTGTGCAATAATGGCTGTCTTCCAGTTTCAGGCAGATAGTGAATGATGATAAATTCTATTAACTCTCACGCACTGCTTTTCCTGCTCCTTCTTCCCTATTTCCCCTCTATATGCCTGTAACTGACTTAAGGCCATCTCTCTTAACTGTGTTGGTTTGATTTCTCGGCAGCTGGTGCCAGCTTTTTCATCAAAACCACCTAAACAACGTAGTGGTTTTTGTTCTGCAGGGAATGAGTCAGCTACACTTTTACAGGTTCTATTTGGAATTTGGATGTCTTCGAAAAGCATTCAGACATGTAAGTTAAGAAAACTTTGCACTAGGGGCTGAGTCTGTCCTCCCATTCTGAGACTAATACATGTGTCAGGGACCATGCTCCTTGGAAACCTAACTGAACAAACAGTAGGGGATATATAAAGCAAAAGGACCTTAGAAGCCTCATGTAGATTTGTCTCTGATTTTCTTTGGAAATCTAGGCAAACACTTATTCCCAGGTTATAATCTGTAGCTCCTAGGTTGATATTGTTCTATTTTATTTGGGCTATGATGTTTTCAAAAATTATAAAATATATATACAAGCTGTGTTTTCTGCCTCTCTTTAAAAAAATCACAAGATTGGGCACCCTTAAAACAGTATATGGAACTGAATAGCAGCTGTCATCTTTAAAAAGAGGCACCTGCTTTCCATTTTCCCATAGCCTCTTCCATTTCCTAGTGACCCATTTCATCCATTTATTCCTGAAGGCATTTGAGTTGGTGAGACCTAATTTAACGTCCCTGGGTCACCATTTTCTTTTTTTGCTTTCATTTATTGAGCACTCCCTGTGTGTCAGGCTCTCTATTAACCATGGACCACATGCTACACATACCATCTTCAGTTATCACAATAGTCTTATAAATAGATACTTTTTAATTTCCATTTTGTATGTGAGAAACTGAGTAACTTGCCCAAGTTCTGGCCTGTAAGTGGTAGCGCTGAAATTTAAGCCCAGGTGAACCTGAAGCTGAAGCTCTCAACCTTTTTGCCCTGTGGTACCATCTGTTCTGATGGCAATGGCATGCTTTCCAATGAAATAATAGATTTGGAAGAACTTTGAAAATACAAAGGGACTTTTCTTGTCTAAGTTGTACGTTTCTTTAAAGTTTGTCTTTTTTACGATGTATAATCACAGGGATCGGTTAGCGTTGTGTGGCTTCATTTACTTAGTCACTTTTCTATATTAAGGAAACAGTTCTCATTTTAAAATGCTAACAATTACTGTCTATAAAAGCACTGAGCTGACAATAAAAGTCCAGGCCTTTCACAGTATTTTAGCTGTTCAACCATTTTTTTAAAACCTGTTAATATATTTTCAGAAATTCCGCTTGCCTCCACCATCATCTGATTTTCTAGCTGATATTGTTGGGCTACAAACAAAACAAAGAGCTGGAGATCTGCCCAAGACAATGGAAGGTATAGCTATGATGCTGGTTTGATGATTTGCTCACTCTAAAAGATGTGGATATGATTGTAAGTAGGTTTAGCACAACAGAACTCAATTCTAACTAACTTAAGCACAAAAACAATTTTTGTTTTTTTGAGATGGGGTCTCACTCTTGTCACCCAGGCATAAGTGCAGTGCTATGATCACACAGCTCACTGCAGCCTTGACCTCCCAAACTCAAGCAGTCCTCCCACCTCAGCCTCCTGAGTAGCTGGGGAACTACAGGCACATGCCACATTCCCAGCTAATTTTTTTTTTTTTTTAAGAAATGGGGCTCCACTGTGCTGCCCAGGCTGGTCTCAAACTCCTAAGCTCAAGTGATCTACCCACCTTGTCTTCCCAAAGTGCTGGGATTATAGGCATGAGCCACCATACCTGGGCCACAAGAATAGTTTTTTTAAGGAAAACTGGGCAGGTACCCAGGGAGGTTAGATAGCAGGAACCACAGCCAGGGTTCATGCCTCAGAAACCATCTGGTTAGATAGCTAAGGATACCTGGGTATCACTAACATTGGACTGTTATGAATTACTCTGAATAATTTCTAAACTGTCACTGGGTCTTTGTACCCACCAGTGTACAGGTGGGAAGGAAGATCATGCCTTTGACTAATATAAGGGATACTTGCTGATACTACTCACAGTGAAGAATAAATAGGCAGGAGGTTTAGATACTAGCCAGCTGCAAGATTCATGATAGCAGTGTTTTTCAAACTATGGGTTGTGTCCGATGAGCAAGTTTTAGCTAACCTTTTTGGTTTTGCCAGGAGGTGAGTGATAGAATAGTATAGGACTTATCAGAGTTCATTGCATATAGTAAGGTTAGGTATTGTTCGATGATACTGTATTTTGTGTTCAGAAATTAATTGAATAATATCAACCAGTGTTGAAAAAGTAGTGAGGAGTAACTTGATTTCTTATCTCCTCTAGAAATGTGCTTGTATTATCCTCTGTCCTAATCCCCACTTCTAATTTTCTATCCTTCCATTGTTCTCTTCTTCTCATGGATGCCCATTTTTGATCTGCAGTTGTATTTGATTTGATCTGCATTGTATTTTAAACATCTGTGATTAAATCACAGAGTAATCATTATGAGATTCTAGGTTCAAGCAAAAACATCACGTTGTGAAAGAAAAGATGTAATCAGGAAAAAGAAATTTGACATGTTTGAAGAGTACAGCTTGTTGGGCATGCTGAGAATAGGAGGAGGCAGTGATGAGAGACAAAGCTGGAAAGGCAGATTAAAGCCACACCCTGCAGGCTTTATTTTTATTTCATTTTTTATTTTTATATTCTGTACCAGCCACAGAGAGACAACCTGCAGGCTTTGAATGCCATGCCAAAAGAATTTGGATTTTATTCTGTAGGCCTTGAGGAGCCAGAGAGGTTATGGCAACTTGTCTATCCTCTTAAGTATTTCACTTCATCTTCCCATGCTAAATATCACAGTCCCCAAGGCATAGTCCCTCGCACTCTGATCTTTGTTAATCAGTCTTTCCTTTGGAGTATTCGTCTGTTTTTGCCAAGTTCACCTATTAGTTTTCTTTGAATGACTCCTATATCATTATCTCTAGGTCTGATGCCCTAGCTTGCAGGCCTGCATTCTCAACTGCCTGCTGAATATTCCAATTGCTATTTGGATATTCTACTGTCCTCAGTCACAACATAGCTAAAAGCATTTTTCTCATCCTCAAGTAATGGGCTCTTCATATTCCCTCTTGTTGGTGTCATTTTTCTCTAAGACACCAGTGTTGAATTTTACGATTTTCTTTTGGCTCCCTATCCCCAATCTGTCTGCATGCCTAATTCCCTTTGCTCCTATAAATCTCTATTCAGATGTCAATTTAACAGAGACCTTCTCAGATCATCCTATAAAAAACATAAGACAATAACCCTTTTCCTGCCCCAACATTTCCTATCCTTTTCTCTTCCTTTTCTTCAAAGCCCTTATCTTACCTGATATATTACATATTTATTTGTTTATTATCCATATTTCCAACTAGAAGTTAAATTTCATGAGGAATTTTATTGGTTTTGTGCATTGGGAAATTCCTAGTGGCCAAAACAGTGCCGGGTATATAATAAAGTTATAGATAAATATTTAAATATTTTGCTGGCTGAATTGAGTTTTTTTTCACCATGTTCTACCAGTTTTTTGTGTATGTTTTATATATATCCCTTTTCCTCCATCCCTTTCACTATCTTAATTCGGATGCTGGTAACAACTTTTTTTTGAGACAGAGTCTTGCTCTGTTGCCTAGGCTGGAGTGCAGTGGGATGATCCTGGCTCACTGCAACCTCTGCCACCTGGGTTCAAGTGATTTTTGTGCCTCAGTCTCCTCAGTAGCTGGAACTACAGGCAGGCACCACCACACCAGCTAATTTTTGTATTTTTAGTAGTGACAGAATTTCACCATGTTTGACCAGGCTGGTCTTGAGCTCCTGACTTCAAGTGATCACCCGCCTCAGCCTCTCATAGTGCTGAGATTACAGGCATGAGCCACTGCACTTGGCCTTCTTTCTTCAACATTTAAGTTCCGGGGTACATGCGCATGATGCGTAGGTTTGTTACATAGGTAAATGTGTGATGTGGTGGTTTAGTACACAGATCAACCAATCACCTAGGTATTAAGCTCAGCCTCCATCAACTATTCTTCCTGATGCTCTACCTCCACCAACCCCTCTGACAACCCGAAATGTGTGTTGTTTACTCCCCATGTGTCCATGTGTTTTCACCATTCAGCTCCCTCTTATAAGTGAGAATATGTGGTATTTGGTTTTCTGTTTCTGTGTTTGCTGAGAATAACGGCTTCCAGTTCCATCCATGTCTCTGCAAAGGACGTGATCTCATTCCTTTTTGTGGCTGCATAGTATTCATGGTGTATATGTACCACATTTTCTTTATCCGATCTATCATTGATGGGCATTTGGGTTGATTCCATGTCTTTTCCACCTGCATGTATCTTCATAACAGAACGATTTATATTCCTTTAGAATATACCCAGCAACAGAATTGCTGGGTCAAATGGTATTTCTGCCTCTAGCAGATGCTCATAATTTTTTGGCCAGAATTACTGTAAAGCCCTTTCTAGCCTCTTTCTACTTCATTGTCTTTCTTTCTTTCTTTCTTTATGTATATTAAAAAATTTAGGCCAGGTGCAGTTGCTCATGCCTATAATCCAAGCACTTTGGGAGGCTCAGGTGGGTGGATTACCTGAGGTCAGGAGTTCGAGACCAGCCTGACCAACATGGAACAATCCCATCTCTACTAAAAATACAAAATTAGCTGGGTGTGGTGGTGCATGCCTGTAATCCCAGCTACTCAGGAGGCTGAGGCAGGAGAATCACTTGAACCTGGGAGGCAGAGGTTACGGTGAACCGAGATTGCGCCGTTGCACTCCAGCCTGGGCAACAAGAGCAAAACTCCGTCTCCAAAAAAAAAAAAAATCTAGAGACAGGATCTCCCTCTGTTGCCCAGGCTGAAGTGCAGTGGCACAATCTAAGCTCACTGCAGTCTCAAACTCCTACATTCAAGCCATCCTCCTGCCTCAGCCTCCTGAGTAGCTAAGACTTGCAGTCATGCACTACCATGCCTGACCAGTTTTTGTTTTGGTAGAGACTGGGTCTTGCTCTGTTGCCTAGGGTGGTCTCAATCTCCTGGACTCAAGCAATCCTCTTGCCTTGGCCTCCCAAAGTGCTGGGATTACAGGCATGCCATGCACCCAGCCTCTACTCCATTTTTTACAAATCTTTGAGGTTGATGTTTCTTAAAACACTGCTTTAATTATGTCACTTCCACTTTCAGGAACTTTTTGTGGCTTCCCATTATGTATTGAATGGTGGATGAAAATTATCCTCTTCTCTCAACTTTGTTTCCTATACTTGTCTCTTGCACAGACTTTTTTTTCTTCATCACTGGTCTACTGCCAAACCAAGTTTACTCTACGTTTCTGTCTTACCTGGAATGCCCTCTTCTACTTATGATACTTTGGCTCTTTTCCTCACAAGGACCAACTACTCACTTAGGCCATCTTGAGCAAGTATTGTTTGAAGAAGGATATATGTGGGTAGAAAGCCAGCAGGAACCTAAGTGCCCCTAGTGAAGAGATTTTCTCCAACCCTCTCATAGCATCTACTTACCTGTGTGTGTATTTTCCTCTTCTGACTAGTCAGTTCTCGCTGTCTCTCTCTCTCTCTATATATATATATATATATAATATATATATATATATATTTTTGAGACAGAGCCTTGCTCTGTTGCCCAAGCTGGAGTGCAATGACACAATCTCTGCTCACTGCAACCTCCACCTCCCAAGTTCAAGCAATTCTTGTGCCTCAGCCTCCTGAATAGCTGGAATTACAGGTGCATGCCACCACACCTGGCTAATTTTCGTGTTTTTAGTAGATATTGGGTTTCACCATGTTGGTTAGGCTGGTCTTGAACTCCTGACCTCAAGTGTTCTGCCTATCTCAGCCTCCCAAAGTGCTGGAATTACAGGTGTGAACCACTGTAACTAGCCCAGTTCTTTATATTTTTTAGTGAAAATTCTTAAAGCAGGCAGTCTGATCAACTGATTTTTCCTTTTAAGAGCATGTCTTGATAAGGAATATCAAGTCATTGGTCAATCTATAGATGACCTCTCTTGAGCCGGGTCATACCCTTAATCCAATCAGTAATGGTCCCTGGTTAAAGAACAAGCTTTTGCTGCTTAAATAGGTGGCTGAGGGTGGAGTATATTTAGCTAGAATGAACCGTAAGGGAGTGACAGGCACTGTAAAGAACAGGTTGAATATACCAACTATCTGAATTCTGTGTTTTTTTAAGACTCAGTTAATCTTTTCCTTTCTTGATCTCTGACACTCCAGTGTAAAGTATATTCTTCCTCCTATCCCTTTATTGTTTTAGCTCGTTTGGGACTTCATTTTCTCAGTGTTTTTTTTGTTTTGTTTTGTTTAGTTTTGAGACAGAGTCTTGCTCTGTCACCCAGGCTGGAGTGCAGTGGCGCGATCTTGGCTCACTGCAAGCTCTGCCTCTTGGGTTCACGCCATTCTCCCACCTCAGCCTCCCAAGTAGCTGGGACTACAGACGCCCACCACCATGCCCGGCTAATTTTGTTTTTGTATTTTTAGTAGAGACAGGGTTTCACCATGTTAACCAGGATGGTCTCGATCTCCTGACCTCGTAATCCACCTGCCTCCGCCTCCCAAAGTGCTGGGATTACAGGCATGAGCCACCATGCCCTGCCTCTCTGTGTTCCTATAATTGTAATAGATTGCAAGCCCCTAAATGGTTGGGGCTGAGTTTTATACATCTTTTGATCTTCCCTGTGCTTAGCCTATGCAACCTCAGGAGACATGTCTTCTAGGGTTCTTAAATACACATTCTAATATACGTTCAATTGTTTTTCTTTTAGGGCCTTTACCTTCTAATGCAAAAGCCACCATCAACCTTCAGAATGACCCCATCATTCAAAAGTATGGCTCTAAGAAAGTGGGCTTGACCAGATGCCTTCTGACAAAGGAGGAAATGAGAACGTTTCACTTTCCATTACAAGGTTGGCTTAGGCCTAATCTGATATTGCCAACAATGTAAAAATATCTAACAGCTTATTTAAATACTACTGTTGGAGATTGATTTATCTGGCTGTTTTCTGAATGGCTTATTCTTATTTCATCTTCTATTAATGAGGAAATATCTTAAGCACAGTGTATCCCAAAGTGTGTGATGTATATTGTGATTGGCAAAGTGATGATTTTAGGTAGTACATGAATGTGACATTGAAGAGCATTGAAATAATATTTAATGAGAAAGTTATTCCCTTTCCTTTTCATTCAGTTTTCTTTCATTTCTTTATATTAAAAACAGTTAGTATGTCTTTAATATTTTAACACTTTTCCAATACTTCTAATTCTCCTCCCACACTGCCCCCACATTTCTTTAACAAATAGAGCAGGTCTAGGCTCAGAGCCTTGGTCAATTATATAGCAAGAATTTAATAAAAGTACTTTGATTTCATTTTATTTTCTTTGTTACCTCCTAATTATAGCAATGATAATTAAATTTCCTTTTTTTAAAATGAGATATAATTTAACATACCACACATTTCACCCACTTAAGGTTACAATTAAGTATTTTTTACTATCTTCATAGAGTTGTACAGCCATCACCACAATTTTAGAACACTTCTATCATCCCAAAAGAAACCCTATAGTATAATTTCCCTCCAACTCCTGAGCCTTTGACAACCGTTAATCTGTTTTCTATATATAGATTTACCCATTCTGGATATTTCCTGTAAGTGGATGTGCAATATGTGGTCTTTGTGACTGGCTTCTTTAACTTAGCATAATGTTCTCAAGGTTCATCCATATTGTAGCATGCATCAGTACTACATTTATTTTCACTGCTTAATGATACTGCCATTGGATAGACTGTTCATTGGGTGATGGACATTTGAGTTGTTTCCACTTTTTAGTTATTATGAATAATGCTGCTATGAACATTCAAGTACAAGTTTTTTGTGTGGACACATGCTTTCATTTCTGTTGGGTATATACCTAGGAGTATAATTGCTGGGTCACATGATAACTCTGTGTTTAACCTTTTGAGGCACTGTCAGTCTGTGAAAGCAGCCATACCATTTTACATTCCCACCAGCAACATACGAAGTTTCCAGTTCCTGCACATTCTTGCCAACATTTGTTATTATCTTGTTTGAATATATCCATCCTAGTGGCTATGAAGTGGTGTCTCATTGTGATTTTGATTTGCATGTGTCTGTTGGCTGATGATTTTGAGCAACTTTTCATGTGCTTATTAGTCATTTGTATAGCTTCAGAGAAATGTCTATTCGGATCCTTTGTCCATTTTTAAATTGGGCTGTATTTTATCATGGAATTATTGGAGTTCTTATATTCTGGATGCATAAATTTTATTTTTTTAATTTATTTTTTTAAGTTGGTGTGGATGTGTTTTATAGGTCCTAGGCACCATACTAAGTGTTTTTTTGTACATTAACTGGCAATCCTATGATATATGAACTAAATTTTAACTCCATTTTATAGATGGCTTTTTCTCTATTTATTTTAACATATTTATAACCATCTTTTTCTTGAGGTTGCACTACTGTCTCATGAGCACGTAGTAAGGGCAGTACTGCTGACACCTATAAAACACCACTGATAATATAGATAAGGTAGGCTGCAAGTATAGTGTCTCTGAGATTTGGGGCTGCCTTTCTTCTCTGGGATAGACCATATTTTGATTCTTTTAATTGCGATTAGTTGGAAATTTCACAGTACTGGGAATCAGAAATCAGTCAAAGGTTTGCCTAGCCCCCTTTGTTCCTTGTCAAACAAGATTTAGATGTTACCTTTACTGCTCCAGCCTCTGCCTGAAGGTAGAAGTCTTCAACAATTCAGATGCTTTTGGGTCTCTGAGCTAAATATGCATGGTTATTGACTCAGGGTACACAAATAGAGGGAGTACCTTAAGTCTGTAGCTGAGCCTCTGTAGGAAACATGTGATTCCAGAAAATGCAGGCAAGGCTCTGAATAGATGTTTCAGAGGAATCTTGAGGGTTGAGTTGGGTGGAGGGACATGTATGGTGAATGTTACTTAAACTTGCTTCCTGCTGTGAAATCTTTTAGATCTCTATTATGATGGAATCTCATTCCTATTTTCTCTTCCTGTATTTAGGAAAGAAAGATTTCACATACAGTTATTTGCATACTTTATTCATTCTTTCTTAGCGCTGACATGGAAAGGGTCTAATGACTTTGAGTTTAGCCATGATTTAGTTATCTCTTTTCTCATGAGGAGGAAAAATTGTTACTTGGCAACTGCCAGGAAGTTCAAGCCCCAGAATCTCCTCCTAACAGCAAGCCTAAGTTATTCTTTCAATATAAAAATGAGTAGATGGAGAAAAACTTGAGGACAGAGATTGTATCTTATTTAGTCTTTGTATTTCAAGTGTCTAACATACTGACATATCTGACTAAAATATCTAGTATTTTAGTTTTACCTGCTTGAATCTAAGAGTGATGTTTACCATCTCTATTCTAAAGGCAAATATTTTCTTCCTTTTTTCCTAGGTTTTCCTGAGTGTGAAAACTTTTTACTTACCAAATGTAATGGTTCTATAGCAGACAATAGTCCTCTCTTTGGACTTGACTGTGAAATGGCACGTACTACTTTTGATTTTTCAATTGGAGTGTTACAAGCTGAGGTCTAGTAGAAAATGATTTCTTGAGTCTATTGCACCAATGAACGAATACATTCATTTCTAGTATTCTGTTTTAATAGCTGAAAGTGGGTCCTTTTACTCATACTTTAGAAAACTTAGATCTGTATTCCAGGATAAAGAATAAATATCCCATAAGTGGCTGGGTGCAGTGGCTCACACCTGTAATCCCAGCACTTTGGGAGGCCGAGGTGGGTGGATCATGAGGTCAGGAGATCAAGACCATCCTGGCCAACATGGTGAAACCCCATCTCTACTAAAAATACAAAAAATTAGCTGGGCATGCTGGTGCGCACCTGTAGTCCCAGGTACTCGGGAGGCTGAGGCAGGAGAATCGTTTGAACCCAGGAGGCAGAGATTGCAGTGTGCCAAGATTGCGCCACTGTACTCCAGCCTGGTGACAGAGCGAGACTCCATCTCAGGAAAAAAAAAAAAAAATCACATAAGTTTTCCAACTAGTTACTATGTTTAATCAAGTCTTTGCACATTACTATAAGTTGATTCCTTGTGTTTGAACAAGTATTTTGTTGTTGGTTCTATGAGGACTTTGCCTTAATTGTTGGTTTGGCTTAGTTTTACACCTTGAAGACCAGAAGTAGGATTTCTCTCCTTAAGTTCCCCTCATGCTTTGCTTTATCTAATTGTAGTAAGCCTCTTTTCAAAGACAGTGCATCCTCTTTCAGTACTCAGGAAACAGTTTCTCAATTCTTAATAGAGTAACTAAGACCTAAAACTTGAGAATCTGACATATCAGGGTGTATATCCTGTCCTTGCCTGTTAGTGGCTATGTCACCTTGGACAAATTCCCCTAACATATCAGCCTGGGCTTCTCCCTCTGTGAAGTGGGGGTAATAATAAAGACTACCTCAAAAGGTAATTATGAGAGTGACATATATAAAATGCTTAGTACAGCACTAGCTGATAATAGAATGGGCTTAATAAAAATTACCTATTAGTGGTATTTAGCATAATACTGGATATAGTACACACTCCATAAATGGTAGATACAATTATTAATACTATTTGCATTCATCTTCCTTGTGCAAATTACACTGTGTTGATCCTCTTAAGTGTAACATTCAGCAGCCTGCCCAGCTTTAATTTCACTCACACTAGATCCTCTAGTAAGCAAGTTTGTGCCATTGCTGCAGGGACCCTGGTAGATTAGAGTAGATGGCAGTTGACATAGTGCAAATAGTAAGAGGAAGCAATACCTTCCACAGTTCAGCAGACTGACTACATCTTGGTCTTTCAGTGCCTCACATCTAAGGGGAGAGAGCTAACACGCATCTCACTGGTTGCTGAAGGAGGCTGCTGTGTTATGGATGAACTGGTCAAACCTGAAAATAAGATTCTGGACTACCTCACCAGGTATTTTTCACCTTGTCTTCAGCTCTTCTGAGAGCTATCAGACTAGAATGGAATAATTCTTAAGAAGAATGGCCCACAGCTTCAGTTTAGTTGGGTTTTATCTACTTAAGTATTATCAAAGATTAGGGCATCACATAGGTATATTTTAATGCTGAAATTGCACAATGTCAGTGTATAATGCTCTTGCCCTTCTTGATCTTCAATCTTCTTGTGACCTAAGTCAGCAGAATATTATCTTCCTTATTCCAGAATCTCCCAATTATAATCAGTATCTACAACTGCCAAACAGCTGGAGCTTTGCTTTCTGATAAGACCTCATCTGAAAATCTGCAAATCATCATTTGGCAGTCAAGTGATGTTAGAGCTTAATGTGCCTTGACCCCCAAAACACAAACAAAACTATTATTTTTCATAACAGAAATTCGAAGCTCAAAATGTTAGTCTACTTTTCCAAAGATTAGCATGTAATTTCAGAATGTACACACAGTGACTAGGCAAGAAGCCAGTGAAACATTACTGTTCCCATCCATTGAAGTGGCACTGGTGGATTCATGACTACTTAGGGACAGAGAGGCAATGATAGTGATAAATAACTGTCCTATTAGCAGACTTGACAATTAGATTCTTAGGGAACAGTCACGTGTGGCAAAGTTGTATGCACAAGCATGTTTGTCACAGTATTGCAAAAATGTAGGTATATAAATGTCTGAAAGTAAGGGATTAGTTAAAATATGTTGCATCTGTATGATGGAATACTCACTCTGTAACCATTTAAAAGGATGTGCTAAAATAGATTTATTGATATGAAAATGTGTTTATGACATATTACAAAGGATAGATTTGTTAAAAAGCAGCTCATGCATTATGATTACATTTTTATAAAAATTAAATATATACCTGAATCTATATCAAAAGTATGGAAGGACATTTAATAAAAATGTAAAAAGCGATCATCTCTGAGTGATAGGATTATGACTAATTTTTAATTCTTATTTGTCACTTTAGACACTAAGCATATATATATAAACTATAATTTTTTAAAATGTTATTTTTAAAATGTCTTTCCAGAGAGGAAAACTTGTTAATATCCTCGCCTGTCCATTTCTCTTTTTTTATTGAAAGCTTTTCAGGAATCACGAAGAAGATTCTTAACCCAGTGACGACCAAACTCAAAGATGTACAGAGGCAGTTAAAAGCACTGCTTCCTCCTGATGCTGTGTTAGTGGGCCACTCCTTAGATTTGGATCTCAGAGCACTGAAAGTGAGTATCTGATTTAGGACTTTGTATTTTCAGTATAAATGCCTGTTCCATTTATCTCAAATCTAAAGTCTTGGGCTCTTCTCCCCCACCCTGCTAGCCCAGTTGTTTTTTCCTTTAGCATAAGACATTACTCATTTTATTCTCTTTTCTTCCTCAGATGATACATCCATATGTTATTGATACATCATTGCTTTATGTCAGAGAGCAGGGCAGAAGATTTAAGCTGAAGTTCTTAGCCAAAGCTATTTTGGGGTAGGTTTGCTTATATACTGTAATATTGTTCTGACAAACTGCATGCAAGTTAGCATATAGTATCTAATTTAATGCATATTGCAAAATTCAGGATTTCTGCTCTCTTTGTTTATAAACATTATTTTTTTGCATTTCTTATGAAATGAAGAAATTGTAGCAATAGAGACAGGGGTTTACATTCATAGTTGAGGCTTAATGGATAGAACTGAACCATGAAGGCAGAAGAGGTAACCAAAATTTCAAAACATACCTATATGCCTATACAAGATAGTGTAACATACTTATACTGTCCTATTGTATTAAGACACATATGTACAAAGGTGTTCATTATAACATGGTTTAAAATAGCAAAATAGAAAAACCTCAAATATTCTAGAAGTCTGAGTAAATTATGGTTATCTATATTATTGAATATTTTGTTGTTCAAAAGAATATGATAAATCTGTATGTTATATGGAAACCTCTCTAAGACACTCCTGAGAATAAGAGATGCAGAGCAAGATTTATATATGCCTCAATATTTATATGATATAGATTAGATTTAGTTCTATCTATAGACATAGGCATATACATATATTAAGCTTTTTAAAAACACCTAAGAAAGTATTTAAGTATGTATAGACACTTATATACAAATAAAAAAGTTTCAGGAAGGCAATTTTAAACAATGGTTAGATCTAAGAAATGGGCCTGCCCCATTTCTTAGAGAGGGGACTGGCCGGGGAGTCAGCTAGATGCTTTTTGTTGGGTAGCCTTTTGTCCACATGCTATGCTTGCTGTGAACAAAGCCATTCCTGATTGTTCTGCACCCCCAGTGCCTCTTGCAGGGCCTGGCAATTAGCTGGAATAAAGGAACCTTGATTGTTGTGATGCAAATCTAATTACCAGAATTCTAACATTTTATATGTAATCACAACACTTGAGATGGTTGAAAGAGCCTATCATTAAAAGTGCTGTGAGTATGTCAATTTTATACTGACTTTCCAGGAAGGATATACAGTGTCCAGACAGACTTGGTCATGATGCCACAGAAGATGCTAGAATAATCCTTGAATTGGCTCAGTATTTCCTTAAGTATGGCCCAAAAAAGGTTAGTATCTTTGACCAGTGTGTTCACCTTTCTTAAAAATCATAGGACTAGATCAGTCTATCATAGACTACCAACTCCTGTTACCTATTTTTATGAAAATGGCAGTGTGGGCCGGGTGCAGTGGCTCACGCCTATAATCCCAGCACTTTGGGAGGCTGGGGCGGGCAGATCACCAGGTCAGGAGTTCAAGACCAGCCTGGCCAATATGGTGAAACCCCGTCTCTACTAAAAATACAAAAATTAGCCGGGTATGGTGGTACATGCCTGTGGTCCCAGCTACTCGGGAGGCTGAGGCAAGGAGAATCGCTTGAACCAGGAAGGTGGAGGTTGTAGTGAGCTGAGATCGTGCCACTGCACTCTAGCTGGGCAACAGAGCAAGACTTCATCTCAAAAAAAAAAAAAGAAAATGGCAATGTGATTGAAGCCTAGCATATATTTTGAATTAAGACCCATATCACTAGCATAATGTAGTGGTTAAGTATATAGTCTCTGCAGTTGGGCTTATCTGTTTTAAAATATATGTTTTACTATGCTGTATAATCTAGGGCAGTTTCTCTGAACAACATCAGTTTTTGGATGTATAATAGGGGAATACACACTTTTCTAGGATATTGTTGAGAGTAAATGAGATACTGTGTATAAAGTTCTTAGCACAGTGCCTTAAATATATTAAGCACTATACTGGTGGCATGGTGATTATTGTAGTTAATACTAATAGTTGTAATAATTATAAAAATTCTGCATAGATTTTAGTTTTCTTGGAGTAGGGGGAGCATATAATTGTTTCACCAGCAGTTCAGTGGGTACAGATTAGAACAGCACATAAGGGAGACATGGAAGAGGACACAGTCTCTGACAAACTTTATTATAATGCATTCTAACCTATTAGATTGTCCCATTGCATAATACATTCCATCATGACTCCATTATAAAATAAATTGTACTCCACATAGAATAATAAGCAACAGCCAGACTTTGTGTCAGATGGTAAAAAGATATTCTAACAGATCTTCTTTGAGCATATAGATAATAATAGCCACCACTCACTGAGGTCTTAAGTGTATTATTCTAAAATGCCATATATACATTATCTTATTTAATCCTCACAACAGCCCTGTGAGTTAACCATTATCATTCCAATTTTATACATGAGGCTTTTGAGGTTATCAAAGGTTAGATAACTTATCTGAGGTCCCACAGCCAGTCAGAGATGGAACCAGAATTGAAACTCATGTCTGTCACATTCTGTCTTTTATCTATACCAGGGGTTAGCAAACTTTTTCTGTAAAGGCCAGTTAGTAAATATTGTAGGCTTTGCAGTTTTGCAACTACTCAACTTGCTGTGGTACTGCAAGAGCAGCCATAGACATTATGTCAACGCAGGTGGGCACAGCTGAAATAAAACTTTATTTATTTACAAAAAAATATGTATTAGTGTTTGCTAATCTCTGCTCTCACTACAGCAGGTTCTAAAACCCTTTTGGTCTCATGACTCTTTTGTTAATGTGGGTTATATTGTTACCCACACAGTGGTGAGTTCAATCAGTTGGTGGGTGTTAACCCAATGACCACTACCAAAGAAGATTTACTTTTTTATTTTTATTTTTTTTGAGACAGAGTCTCACTCTGTCTCCCAGGCTGGAGTGCAATGGTGCAATCTCTCTTCACTACAGCCTCTGCCTCCCTGGTTCAAGAGATTTTCCTGCCTCACCCTCCCAAGCAGCTGGGATTACAGGTGCCTGCCACCACACCTGGCTAATTTTTTTTTTTTTTTTTTTAAATTAGAGTTGGGGTTTTACCATGTTGGCCAGGCTGGTCTCAAACTCCTAACCTCAGGTGATCCACCCATCTCGGCCTCCCAAAGTGCTTGGATTATAGGCGTGAGTCACCATGCCTGGCCCAAGGAGGATTTAACAAGGGGATTTTATTACTTTGCAACAAGTAAGAACACCAGGGATAGTTTCCAAAGCACTATCTCCCCAAATGAAGGCAAAAGCAGGGCTTTTATTTTGCTAGTTGGCTGAGTCACTGCATGTGTAAAGGCAGGGTTTGTTCCTTGACACATACATGTATAGAAAATGGAGAATAAGTTCCTCCCTAAGTGAGATTTTTAGCATGGTAATGCAGAGAGTTTGCCAAGTTCATCTCTAACTTCAGCCATCTCTGGTTCCAGCTGGTTTTTGTCTTGCTGTAGCTGGTCTTCTTCCTGTACCCTTTTGAAACAACAAGGTGCAACAGGGGTTACACTTTTATAGTGTGCACCTGAAGACCCAGGGACTCTGGGTTACAATATCTATCAACATTTACTATATTAGAAATTGCATAAATTTTAATATTAGTTTGAGATAAAGTTTGAGATAATATTAGTTTGAGATTAGTTTGAGATTTGTGTTTATATATTAACACAAATCACTTTTTTTTTGAGATGGGGTCTCACTGTGTTGCCTAAGCTAGACTGGAACTCCTGGGCTCAAGGGATCCTCCTACTTCAGCCTCCTGACTAGCTGGAACTTCAGCATATACAGCCACTCTGTCCAGCTACAAATAACTTGCTTTTATGAAAAAAAGAATTTTCCATAAACATCAGTGGAAAGAGCATCATTGTTTTAGGTATTTTTGTGAAACCTTTTAACATCTAGCGTAATAGAAAACAAGTGACTTTTCATATCTGCTTTACATTCAGTCTCTTATGTCATATAGTTGGAGAAGGAAGGATCTCACCCCTTGTGAGACCTCTGGAAACCCCAGGATTCCCAAACCACACTTGGGGAGCTTAATTATGCTTGATTTCCAGTGAAAATTGTATCTCACTTGGATAAAAACTAACCAAATCTGAATTAAGCATGAGCTTTAGTTAATAATGATGCATTACTATTGTTTGATTAATTGTGACAAATGCACCCTACAAATCTATTACTAATAGGTAAAAATGGGGGCAAGCTGTATGGGAACTCTGTACTATTTTCATAATTTTTCTGTAAATCCAAATTGATTCTTTAAAAATAAGTTTATTTTTAAAAATTTGTAACTTTAAAAATTATTCTCTCTACATCACAACTCCCTGGTGGGCTCCCACTTTATGGAAGGAGAAGAAATATCAACTAGAATAGACTTCTCATGATTTTGTGTTAAGCTAATAAATAGTCTTTTTAAAAAATTTTCTTGTAAAGCCATTCTTTTATCATTTCCAAAATTGCATGTGTGCAGAGAGGTAAATTTTAAGTGACTGACTATTGGATGAGTGATGAACCAAAATTGTCATCTTTTTTCAATCAGCCCTACTTGGCCCTTCCCCACATTCATGTAACAACATTTGTAGCTGGTAACAGATTGCCGTTCTTGGCTAAGCAGCCATAAACCATCTGGTAACTGTTGAAGCCATCCCAGGGCTGTGGCAATGGCAAAGCCACTGCCTAAGAAAAGAGAGAAAATTATTCAAGTGGATTTTTTGCTTTTCGTTATTGTTGCTTTTTGTTTGTATTTCTTTGAGCATCAAATGCTTTGCAAGAAATTATATTTTTACCACTTTATTTTCTTCAAGATTGCAGAACTAAATCTAGAAGCACTAGCTAATCACCAAGAAATAAAAGCAGCAGGCCAAGAGCCTAGAAACACAACAGAAGTACTTCAGCATCCAAACACAAGGTAATATTTTCAGTTTGAAACAAGAGCAAAGACAAATGGAGTATCTAGTTTCTTGTTTAACAACACCTGAGAATGTTTTTATCCTCTTTTGAGTCTATTGAAAACTATTTACCAAAAAGTAAATAACATTTATCACAAAAACCACAGAAAAAATAGCACCTTCTAGCCTTAATATACAGTATTTAATTTCTAATTTTCTGAATCTAGTGGCTGGTCTAAAATGATATCCTTGACCAAAAGAAAAAAAAAAAAAATGATTGGAATATGTTGAACCTAGGTAGCACTGGGAAAGATGATAGACTAGTTGGTATTTTGGCTAGAAGAGTCAATCTGTAGCCTTGTTGTATTGCCCAGACTATGAAAGACACACACACAGACTCAAAAGGGCTTTGTCTCCAGACTATGGCAAATGTATCAGATCTTTAGCATTTTGCCTACACTTTGATAGAGAGCTTTGGGTATATTTCTTGTTTATCCTTCCTCTCTCTATTGAAGCCACACTGTCTAAAACAATTTTCTATGATGATGGAAGTGCTCTACATCTGTGCTATCTGGTTTGGTAGCCGCTAGTCACATTTGACTAGTGCAGTTGAGGAACTGAATTTTTAATTTTATTTAATTTTAATAGCTATATATTGCTAGTGGCTACCATGTTGTATAATGCAGGTATAGAGAAATAACTGTCAGGTTCTGGAAAACTGTTGTTCTTACCTTAACTCTTCTACTTCTTTATAGTGTTTTAGAATGCTTGGATTCAGTGGGTCAGAAGCTTCTTTTTTTGACCCGGGAGATAGATGCTGGTGAACTTGCATCTTCCAGAAACTGTCAAACTATAAAGTGTCTTTCAAATAAAGAGGTGAGTGTCCTGCTGAACCTTTGCAGGTTATATTCAAAGCAGAGGGGAATGTAGCCCTTTGCACCCCATGCAAGTGTCAAACTTTTTTAAATCAGCAACCCTGGCTACAGTTAGTAAGTCTGGCTTCTGTCTCACATCTTTTATGGAGTACCTAAGTCCTCATAGGAGCAGAACTGTCAGCTGCCAATGCCTGCTTCCAGAGCCTAGCAGGCCTCTGGGTTTGGGCTTGCCTATGTATTTGAGTTTCTGTTGTGTTTCTGGTTCATGGAAATGTTTATCTTGGTTTTGAGCCTAGCTATATCTTTTCAATTTTTTTTCTTTTTATATTTTATCTATCATTGCTGTATGTTAAGTCAGAGAGGCTGCATCAAACATGAGCTTACTGTGTTATATTCAGAAGATCTGTGTTGTTGTTTTTTTTAACATTTTGTTTGGAAATAATTTCAACCTTACGGAAGCGTGCATGAATGGTAGAACACCTGTATACCTTCTATCTAGATTCACCTTTTTTAGCACTCTGCCCCAGTTGCTTTATTATTTTATGTGTACCCACATGCGTATGCTCTCTTATGTACACACTCTCTTCCTTCCTCTCTCTGTATGACATTTCCTGAACCAATTGAGAGTAAGCTGCATATATCATGGCCCTAAATACTTCAGAGTGTATTTCATGAGAATATTATTTTACATAACCACATCTTACATAGTTACCAATTTTAGTAAATCTAATATTGTCCTGGTACCTTTATCTACTTTTCATCTGTATTCTAATTTTCTTAGCTGACCAAATAATGTCTTTATAGCACGTCTTTTCCCTTTGGAACAGTATCATTTTTAGGGTCATGTATTACAATTACTTGTCGTATCTTTTTAGTCTCCTTTAAAGCTGGAACAGTTCCTCCACCTTTCTTTGTCTTTAATAACCTTGATACATTTCGAGTAATGCATGCCCCCCTCCCTTTTTTAACAGAGTTTTGCTTATTTTAGGTTTGTGTGGTGGTTGCTCATGATTAAATTCAGATTATGCATTCTTAGCCAAATTTCTTGGGGTCTTGCATCCAGAGGCAGTTATTATTCATCTGCCCCTCTTTTATGCTGTTTATTTTGATCACCTGGTCAAGGTGTTGTCTGCTTTTCTATTGCAGAGTTCTTGTTTTTTCACTTAATTCTAATAAATATGTGGGGAGATATTTTAAGAACATGCCAGTATTGCTTGAGCGCAGGAGGTCAAGGCTGCAGTGAACTATGATCGTTACCACTACACTCCAGCCTGGGATTACAGGTGTGAGCCACTAGGCTCGGCCAAGTGTTCCTTTTTTATATGTCTTTTGCTTGAGCTTGTTGAGCTTTTGGAATTTGTGGGATTATCATTTTCATCAAATTAGAAAAAGTGTTGACCATTATTTCTTCTTTCACCACCCTCCCCTCCTTTGGGCACTCCCACTACATATGTATTAGGCTGTTTAAAGTTGTTCCATAGCTCACTGATGTGCTGTTCATGTTTTTTCCAGTCTTTTTTCCTCTCTGTTTTATTTTAGATTGTTTCCATTGCTATGTCTTTAGGTTTCTTATTGTGCTGCAGTATCTAATCTACTGATAATCCAATCCAGTGTACTTTCACCTCACACATTGTATTTTTTACCTCCAGAAGTTAACTTTTGTTCTATTTTATATCATCCATGTTTCTAGTTAACATTCAGACTTTCCTCTAGCTTCTAAATTCCAGAATATAGTTACAATAACTATTTTAACATCCTTCTCTATTAATTTGATAATCTGTGTCATTTTTAGATTAACTTAAATTGATTGGTTTTTTCTCCTTATTATGGACTGTATTTCATTCTTCTTTGCAGTCTGGTAGTTTTTTGTATTGGATACTGGACACAGTGAATTTTAATTTGTTGGGTGCTATATATTTTTATATTTCTATAAATATTTGTGAGCTTTGGTCTGGGATGTGGAAAAGTTACTTGGAAACACTTTGGTCCTTTTGGATCTTCTTTCTTTCTTTGCTTCCTTCCTTCTTTTCTTTCTGGTGTTTTTTTTTTTTGAGACGAAGTCTCGGGCTGTCCAGGCTGGAGTGCAGTGGCGCCATCTCAGCTCCCTGCAAGCTCCGCCTCCTGGGTTCATGCCATTCTCCTGCCTCAGCCTCCCAAGTGGCTGGGACTACAGGCGCCCGTCACTGCGCCAGGCTAATTTTTTGTATTTTTAGTAGAGATGGGATTTCACTGTGTTAGCCAGGATGGTCTCGATCTCCTGACCTCGTGATCCGCCCGCCTCGGGCTCCCAAAGTGCTGGGATTACAGGCATGAGCCACTGCGCCTGGCCTTCTTTTCTTTCTTATGTTGCCCATGCTGATCTCAAACTCCTGGCCTCAAGTAATCCACTCATTTCAGCATTCCAAAGTGCTCGGATTACAGGGGTGAGCCACTATGCCTGGCCAGATCCTTTTGAATTCTTGCTTTTAAGGTTGGTTAGGTGGAACCAGAGTAAATTTTGTCCCACTACTAAAGCAAAACCATACTAAGTACTTGATCTCCATAAATTATGAGATTTTACACTCTAGCTTTTGGGAATCTAAACTATTCCTGGCCTTGTGTTAGCCCGTGTGATTGTTTCCTCTAATCCTTTTGGGCGTCCTTTCCTTGACCTCGCATAGTTTACTTACATGGATACACTAATCCCTACTCAACTGAATATTTGAGGGAGATTGTTTATAGATCTATCGGTTTCCTAGCTTTTAAGGATCACTGTCCTTCATTTTCCGATATCCTGAGAACTGCTATTCTTAGGATTTTTTTTTTTTTTTTTTTTTTCTTCTGCGCACTTACATGGGCCTCAAGGGCTCTTTGGGCATTATTATTGTTATTGTAATAGACTTTAATTTTTAGAGCAGTTTTAGGTTCACAACAATATTAAATGGAAAGTATAAGCTGGGTGCTGTAGCTTACACCTGTAATCTCAGGACTTTGGGAGGCCAAGGTAGGTGGATCTCTTGAGTCCAGGAGTTTGAGACTGACCTGGGCAACATGGTGAAACACTGTCCCTACAAAATATCAGCCAGGCTTGGCGGCATATGCCTATTATCCCAGCAGCTTAGGAGGCTGAGATGGAAGGATTGCTTGAGCCCGGGAGGTGGAAGTTGCAGTGACTGACGTATAATCGCACTACTGCACTCCAGCCTGGCGACAGAGTGAGACCCTGTCTCAAAAAAAGGAAAGTACAGAGAGTTCCCATTTACCCGCACACCCACCCACACAAACAACTTCCACCACTATCAACAACCTGTACCTGAGTAGTACATTTGTTAAAATCAATGAACCCACTATGACATATAATTACCAAAGTCCATAGTTTACATTAGGGTTCTGTCTTGGTGTTGACAAATGTATAGTGACATATATCCACCATTATATATCATATATATCATACAGAATAGTTTCATTGACCTAAAAATCTGTGATGAATGTGCTCTGCCTGTTGGAAACCACTGATTTTTTTTTTTTTTTTTTTTTTTTTTTTTTTTTACTGTCTCCATAATGTTGCCTTTTTAAGAACATCACATAGTTGGAATCACATAGTATGTAGCTTTTTCAGACTGACTTCTTTCACTTAGTATATGCATTTAAGTTTTCTCCATGTCTTTTCACTGCTTTATGGTTTTTTCTTTTTAACACTGAATAACTATATATTTCCTGGATTTACCATAATTTATCCATTCACCTGCTGATAGACATTTTGGCTGCTTCCAAGTTTTGGCAATTATGGACAAAGTTGCTATAAATGTCTGTGTGCAGGTTTTCATATGTACATAAGTTTCCAACACATTTGGGCAAATACCAAAGAGTGCAGTTGCTAGATTGTATAGTAAGAGTATGTTTAGTCTTGTAAGAAACTGCTGAACTTCCAAAGTGTCTACGATTTTGCATTCCCACCAGCAGTGAATGAGAGTTCCTGTTGCTCCACATTCTTTTCAGCATTTGATGGTGTCAGTGTTTTGGATTTTGGCTATTCTGATGGATATGTATTAGTGTCTCATTGTTTTAATTTGCAGTCCCCTAATGACATGTAATGTGAAGCATCTTTTCGTATGCTTATTTGCTATATATATGTCTTCTTTGGTCAAGTGTCTGTTCAACTCTTTTGCCCATTTTAAAAATTGCATTGTTCATTTTCTTATTGGTGAGTTTTAATAGTTCTTTGTATATTTGAATAACAGTCTTTTAACAGATAAGTCTTTTGCAAATATTTTCTCCCAGTCTGGCTTGTCTTCTCATTCTCTTTAATCATATATTTTTTATAGTTTCTTAGTTGTTGGAGGAGAGAGGGTAACTCTAGTCTTCTGTTATTCAATCTTGGCTGGGGATGGAAATCCTTGTAAATTGTATTTGAGAAATTTAATGGTAGTCTAATTTTCTTGGCTTTGTAAGTTATTTTTACCGAGGATTTACTTTTCCCTTTTTGTTTAAAGTCTAATTGTTTTACTAAGCTATGTCTCAGAGTTGATCATTCCAAGTCACTTTTTCTTGGTACCTGAGGCGCCCTTCAATATATAGGTTATAGTTTCTTTTATTTCCAGAGGTTTTCTTGGATTGTATTTTCAAGTATTTGGTTCCATTGCTTTAATTTTCTTCCTCATAGACTTCACTTATGCATGTATGTTGTGCCCCCTTGGCCTATCTTTCATTCATCTACTTTCTCTCTGATGCTTTTGATTTCATTTGTACACTCCTAATTCTTTCCATGCTTTTCATTAATGCCTTTTATTAAAATTTCACTTGAATCTATTCTTTCTTGACAACTTGTAGTTGCTTTTTCATATCCTCAAGTGCTTGGCTGCTAATATTCAATTCAGTTTATACTGTAATGTTAACTGTATCCTTTAGCTCCATGGTTGATTTTTTTTTTTTTTTTTTAGGGGGAATAATTTTCATCAGCTGAAATGCTTCGATTCTCACTTTATTTCTTGGTTTTTGTTTTTGAGACAGAGTGTCACTCTGTTGCCCAGGCTGGAGTGCAGTGGCATGAGCAGAGCTCACTGCAGCCTTGACTTCGGGGCTCAAGCAATCCTCCTGCCTCAGCTACCCGAGTAGCTGGGACTACAGGCATGTGCCACCATGCCCGGCTAATTTTTAAATTTTTTATAGAGATGAGGTCTCATTATGTTGCCCAGGCTCATCTCAAACTCCTGAGCTCAAATTATCTTCCCACCTTGGCTTCCCAAAGTGCTAGGATCACAAGCATGAGCCACCGCGCCCAGCTGTTGCTGTTTTTTTAACAGTAGTTTAGATTAATATGGTCTACTATTTTCTAATTTTACTGATTTGTTTTTGAATAAGGTTTTCATTCAAGAGCGTCTCTTTTACTCTGCCTTCCTCAATGCAGTTTTTTGTTCTTCTTCTGTGCTTTTCCTCTACTTATCAAAGAATTCTCTCTCCCTTTCCTCTTCTGCCTCTCTTCTTATTGTAGCAAAAAACATAAAATTTACCATCTTAACTGTTTTTAAGTATACAGTTCAGCAGTATTAAGTATATTTATGTTGTTGTGAAAGAGATCTTAGAACTTTTTTATTTTGCAGAAGTGAAACTTGGGCTAAGTTTCTTTGTATGCCTTGTGACTTATTGTTGTTGGTATTGTTGAGGCTTGGGCATTTGAATAAATAGCCAGTTGTCTTTACAGACTGCTTCGTGCAGGGGGAGACCTTCACCATTCAGCCTAGTTAGAAATTTCATGACCTCCCAAACCTGTTCTGGAGATTTGTCTTCTCTGGAGTTGTGCATGTGCCTTTAGTTGTTTCCTGAGCCCCTTGTCCCTGCTTCTTTTCAGAGCCCATAATCTCTTTCTTCCCCTGGTTTCTTACTGCGGCTCTAACATGCCATGGTGATCACATCTGTTTTCAGTGGCTTCCAAACAAGGCTGTCAGTCCTGTCAGCCTTCTGAGTCATGCAAGACAGAAAATAGTCCCTCAGACAGCCCCCACACTACTCAGAACATTGGACACATGGTCCACTCTTTTGTTTCCATCCCAAGAGAGGATCTGTGGTGTGGGAGAAGCCCTATTATGTCAGATAGGGAAGGATGTAAATGAGACCACAAAACATCACAAAGTTTCCTTTCCCATTTACTGGAAACCCTTCTTGGTTTCATGCTGGTCTAGGTACTATATAGCTTTTCATCTGGTCTGTACAGTTCTCTCAAAGGTGTTCTGGTCCATATATTGTTGTTAACTCATTGTCTCTGTGGGAGAGTAAGAAGCTAAAGTGAAGCTTTCTAGTTCTCCATTTCCAGAATGATGGTGTGGTGTTGACGGAAGGGAGGAATTTATAATATTGTTTGGAAGGGTTGGCATTCTTCACAGCAGTGTCTCCAAGGAGTACCACCTTTTCTCTATATATCTGATTCTTCTCCAGAAGCACAGCTTCTCTGAGGCTGCCAAGCCTCTTGCTTGTAGTCAAGTGCTGAGAAATGTCAAAATCATGACCCATGTTCCTTATTTGGCATTTAATTAGAGTTTTTATTTTGGGGGTGATTTTTTTGTGCTTCATCTAATTCTTCCATGTCCCTTGATTATTATTATTATTATTTTAACCAAATCTATTAAGCCTCCTCTCCCTTGCTTTCCCTACTCACAGGCTTGCAACAGTTTACAATACTGGAAGTTATAGTTATTTATTTAATTACAGGTCATTGGAAAATTTTTGTAATAACCCTTGTCTCTTAGTAATGCTGAAGGTCTGACTTATATGTATTTTATTTTTATTCTTTTTATTGGTTCTGTGGTTCTTTGGGGAAGCTGTGTGGTTTCACCATTTTCCTCCAGACCTGGAAGTCAGCCCCATATTACCTCAGTATGGGTAAAAAGGCAACTACTATTTATATTATTGTGGCTCATATCCAGGAGCCGCAATAGAGTATGAGGTTCCTACCTTATCCAGGCTGTGCTGTTCTCTACAGGTTCTTGAGCAGGCCAGAGTGGAAATCCCCCTGTTTCCCTTCAGCATTGTTCAGTTCTCTTTTAAGGCCTTTTCACCTATCCTCACCGAGGAGATGAACAAAAGGGTAAGTGGATGGGTTCTGCTGAATGATTTATTTAGTGACTTTTTGTAACCTCTTATCATTATGGAAAGTAATACATGCTTTATTTAATTTGTTGTATCTTTCTCTAGAGTTTTACTATCTGCATATTAACATCTAAAAATATTTTTATAAAAATGGGAATCAAACTATGCATACTGTTTTGCAACTTTATTTTTTCATTTAACAGTATATCTTGTACATCTTTCTGTATCACTACATATCTTATTTCCCTTGTTTTTAATGGCTACATAATATTCTGCTATATGATATACCTATTAACAGCATTTGTACTTTATACACTTTTGCCATTGCAAATAATACTTCAGTGAACATCCTTGGACATTTGGCAAGTATTTATGTCAAAAAAATCTTTGATGAATAATCCCATGCGTTGACTCATGATTTCATTTCTCTTTTCACATTCATTCCCATACTATATTCTGTTGTTTTTCCTACAGATGAGGATCAAGTGGACAGAGATATCAACTGTCTATGCTGGGCCATTTAGCAAAAATTGCAATCTCAGGGCTCTGAAGAGGCTATTTAAGAGCTTTGGCCCAGTCCAGTCAATGACTTTTGTTCTTGAAACCCATCAGGTAAGACTGGAAAATTCGGCCGGGCACGGTGGCTCACGCCTGTAATCCCAGCACTTTGGGAGGCCGAGGCGGGCGGATCACGAGGTCAGGAGATCGAGACCATCCTGGCTAACACGGTGAAACCCCGTCTCTACTAAAAATACAAAAAATTAGCCGGGCGTGGTGGCGGGCGCCTGTAGTCCAGCTACTCAGGAGGCTGAGCCAGGAGAATGGCGTGAACCTGGGAGGCGGAGCTTGCAGTGAGCCGAAATTGCGCCGCTGCACTCCAGCCTGGGGCACAGCGTGAGACTCCGTCTCAAAAAAAAAAAAGACTGGAAAATTCAGATTTCAATTTTCTAGATTAGTGTTTCACATTCAGGTGACTGCTTGGGCCATGCAGATAGCAATATTCCTGAAGTAAGCTTGATTGCTACCAACTGGAGCGCGAGACATACGCTAATGAGAGCAATTGTTGACCCACGAGAATGTATACCCAGTATTGTGAGATCTTTTGTTGTGTGTGTTTAAAGAATTGAGACATCTGGCTGGGCGTGGTGGCCTATACCTGTAATCCCAGCACTTTGGGAGTTTGAGGAGGGAGGATTGCTTGAGTCCAGGAGTTTAAGACCAGCCTGGGCTATATAGTGGGACCACATTGCTACAAAAAATTTAAAACCAAGAATTGAGAACTCTGTCAATTTTCACATGCTGGCTCCCATTTTCTCAAATATCAGGCCATGCGAAAAAATATGTCTGCTGGTTGAATATAACCTATGGTCCTTATGATTGTACCCGGCTTTAAAAGATAAAATGCCCTTTCAAAAGGAGAAGTAACTTTCATATCTTAGAAAGTTACTTCTTTTTTTACGGAGTAGGCTCATGGCTTGGTTAAGATACAGGAGGAAGATTATGGGAGGGCTTTTGTTGTTATTGTTATTAGTTCTCTTATCTCTTAGGGTAAGTTTTTGGTATTATAGGTTTGTATTTACATAAAAGCCCTTTAAAGAGATTAGTTTTACTTTAACAAAAATAATGCTTGCATATGGTTTTAAAAATTTATATAGTTCAAAAGGACTTCACAAGTTAAGTCTCCATCTTCATAGTCATAACAATACCATATCAATAAAGTTTCTATATGAAGCAATAGCATCATAAGCATATAGAGACATAGAAGAAATCATGAAAAGAATTTAGAAAGAATTAAAAATGGAAACAGTGTAATAGGATGTTTGTGGAATGATATACAATAAAGGTAACAATGGAGGCCTCCCGGGGGAAGAATTAGGCAGCTAGCTAATGGGATTAGGGGAGACTTTACTGTAAATATATTGTTCCTTTAGAATTCGGAACTAGGTAACTATTAACTGGTGTATTACCATGTATGAAAGTGAAGTAAAAATACTTCTAAAGTGATGTAAGTGCAGGATCCTAGATATTTTTAAATGTGCTGTCTCTAAATTTTTTTTTTTTTTTTTTGACACAGAGGCCCAGGCTGGAGTGCAGTGGTGCCATTTTGGCTCACCACAGCCTCTGCCTCCCCAGTTCAAATGATTTCTCGTGCCTCCCAAGTAGCTGGGACTACAGGTTTGCACCCCCACGCCTGGCTAATTTTTGTATTTTTAGTAGAGACGGGGTTTCACCATATTGGCCAGGCTGGTCACAAACTCCTGACCTCAAGTGATCCACCTCCCAAAGTGCTGGGATTACAGGTGTGAGCCACTGCACACAGCTTCTAAATCTTTTATTAATGGCTTTTCTATGACTACAAATACAAATACAAAGATTATCCCTGAGAAGATGGATTGGGGGATGAGAATATAGCAAGGGGCTATAACATCTTCCTAAGTCTTTCTCTTCGTCCCTTTTTTTGGTTGTGGGGGTGGCGGGTAAAATACATATAACATAAAATGTACCTTTTTAACCATTTTTAAGTGGCGTTCAGTACATTGACATTGTGTAGCTATCACCACCATCTATCTCCAGAACCTTTTCATCATCCCAAACCGAAATTTCCTATTAAGCAATGATTTCCTGTTACCCTTCCCCCAGCCATTGTTTTACTTTCTGTCTGTATGAATTTGACTACTCTGTATACCTCACATAAGTGAAATCATATAGTATTTGTCCTGTTGTGTCTGTTTTATTTCATTTAGCATGTCTTCAAGGTTCATTCATGTTGTAGCATGTATCAGAATTTCATTTTCAAGGCAAAATAATATTCCATTTCATGTATGTACCACATTTTGGTTATCTATTTGTTGATGGACATTTGGGTTGTTTCTACCTTTTTTTTTTTTTTTTGAGATAGGATCTTGCTCACCCAGGCTGGAGTTCAGTGGCGTGATCACAGCTTACTACAGCCTCGACTTCCTGGGCTTAAGCAATCCTCCCACCTCCCAGCCTCCTGAGTAGCTGGGACCACAGGCTTGCACCACCATGCCCGGCTAGTTTTTTGTAAGACAGGGTCTCTCTGTGTTGCCCAGGCCGATCTTGAACTCCTGACTCAAGAGATCTGCCCACCTCGGCCTCCCAAAGTCCTGGGATTACAGGCGTGCCTGACTGTGGGTTGTTTCTACCTTTGACTATCATGAATAATGCTGCTATGAACATGGTTGTACATAATATCTGTTCAAGTCCCTGCTTGCAGTTCTTCTGGGCATATACCCAGAAGTGGAACTGATGGATCAAATAGTAATTCTGTGTTTACTTTTTTGAGGAATCATTATACTGTTTTCCACAGTGGCTATACCATTTTACATTCCTACCAGCAAAGAACAAAGGTTCCAACTTATCTGCATCTTCACTGACACTTGTTTTCTATTTTATTTAATAATAGCCTTCCTAATGGATGTGAAATGGTATCTCATTTGGGTTTGATTTGCATTTCCCTAATGATTAGTGATGTTGAGTGTCGTAGGCAATTTGTACATCTTTTACAGCAATGTCTATTCATTTGTTTGCCCTTTTTTTTTTCTTATTTATTTTTTTCAGTTCCAGCTACTCTGCAATGTTTGCCCATTTTTAAATCAGGTTATTTGGGTTTTTTATTGTTGAATTGTAAGAGTTCTCTGTACATTCTGGATATTAATCTTTTATTAGATAGGTGATTGCAACTATTTCTCCATTCTGTGGGTTGCTTTTTGACACTGCTGTTAGTGTCCTTTGATATACAAAAGGTTTTAATTTTTATGAAGTCTAATTTGTCTATTTTTAGCTTTGTTGCCTGCCTTTGATGTCATGTTCAAGAAACCCTTGCCAAGCCCAGTGTCATGAAACTTTCCTATGGGAAGGCTTTTATCTCCATATTGATGCTGTGGCTCAGATAATCACAAAGATTTACTTACTCCGAGTTACCAGACAGAAAAGCAGACCATTTGAAGATGTAGCCTATCCAGTGGAAGAACTTATCCTTCCCAAGCTTACAAAGTTTAGCTAAAAGACAGACAAATGGGAATCTCTGCCCGTGACTTGCAGTGATGACTTTAGTGATGCATAATAAATATTATGAAAAGCCTGTTGGGTAGTTGCATTTTAAATGACAAAAGTTAGTTATTGTCTGAAAGCTAGTTCCTGAACTTTAATGATCCCATTTAAAGTTGACAGTTTACAATCAATACCTGTGTAACACAGCACAGCAAAGGCATCCATTCTGGTGGCTTTGGCCACTGTAGTTTGAATCCTTTCCCCAGCCCCTTCTTTAGCAGTTTGAGCTGGAAAGCAATGGTGAGGAAATCTTGGTCTTTCTGCAGCCTCATCTCTGTATACAGTATGAAGTCCTAGAAGCAGCCCAGCTGGCCATAGAGTCCTTGGATGGTATTCTGGTAGATGGTACCTGCATCAAGGTAGGGTGATAAGAGAAAGCTCCCTTTGCTCGGGTCTAGCCTACCACAGCCTATATGTATAGTGCCCCAGGACATGTAGCAAACACCCTCAAGAGGCCCAGGCATAAGACTTTGTTATGGAAAGTCTTCAGCCAAGTCTGACATTCTCCTGCTGGCAGTGACTGAAGATATAACAGCTTTCATTTGTGTCAGAAATCATCCTGTGATAGATTTGGGGCTTCCTTGCATTCTTTATTACTACTTAAGTCCCCAATGGTTTATTCTGGTTGGTTCTTTGCGGTTGCCCTTTTCTTCACCTTTCAGGGAGATCAAATGATGGTATTTTGAAGTTTCTTGTGCACATAAACAGAATTTCATTAAGGGTGGGAGGCAGGAAACTGAAGAGAATATGTTTACATGAAAATATGTATGTATTTATCAATTAAGTCTCTAACATAATTCTGTGAGACAGTTATCTTTAGTTTCCTTTTACAGAAAAGGAAATAAACTGAAAAAGTATAGGAAACTGAAAAATGAAGTTATTAGTAATGGCAAAAACTTGCTAGTATCCAACAGGCCTGAGGATTAAATTGATTTTCTACCACTAACATCAACTTTCCTTGGTTAGGTGCAGAGGCCTGTGACAGAGCTCACGCTTGATTGTGAGACCCTCGTGAATGAGCTGGAAGGAGATTCTGAAAACCAAGGCTCTATATATCTGTTTGGAGTGAGTGAAACCTTCAAAGAACAGCTGTTGCAGGAGCCCCGCCTCTTTCTTGGCCTGGAAGCTGTGATCTTGCCTAAAGATCTTAAAAATGGAAAGCAGAAAAAATACTGTTTCCTAAGTAAGTCTATGCTGTCGAATGTAGCTTTGGGGAAGGAAACTGGGGATGGTAATAACATGAGGTCAGAGAAGGGAAGATTCACCTCCTGGGCTGGACCAGGGCAGCAGTTCCTGATTCTGTCCTCCTCCTATGGCCCTAGCCAGGCAGCTTGGATGGGATCAACTTTCTCGGCCCTTAATAACAAGGTGGGGGTTCTTGCTTTCAGAATTCAAAAGTTTTGGCAGTGCCCAGCGGGCCCTCAACATTCTCACAGGCAAGGACTGGAAGCTGAAAGGCAGGCATGCTCTAACCCCCAGGCACCTCCATGCCTGGCTCAGAGGCTTACCACCTGAATCAAGAAGGCCCGCAGGGCTTCGTGTTGTACCTCCCCCTTTTGAACAGGAGGCCTTGCAGGTGAGTGAGTGAAGGTTTCTTGGAGAAGATGTCAGGAGGGTCCTGCTCAGTGACACTTAATCCTTTAATCTTTTTTTTTTTTTCCTACCCTGGCCCTCAGTCTTATTTCACTCTCCAGCTTCTTCCAGTCCTGGCCACATCTCCTTTTCTCCCAGATCTCTCATACTTTAGCCCCCTCCATACCTGCTAAACTTAGGTTTTTAGTCTTCCAGATCTCCAAGGGACTTTGAGGGACCAAGGCAGGAAGTCAGAGAGCTGGATAATTATTCAGTGATCTAGTCTAGGGTTTCCCAAAGTGTGGTACATACACAAGATAAATTGTGGTTGTCATAGATGGTCTTTTTTTTGTTTTGTTTTCACTTTTATGATTATGGATTTGTCTGTTTATTATAGCTAAGACATCTGAATGGACTTGTTTTGCTAATACTTGTTAAAGTATACAACAACTACATTGAGACTATGATTTTGTGGATGGTATTAGTTAATTTCTAACTCACTTTATGGAAAAATGTTAGAGGGATATACAAGCAGAAGAGTGGAGGTAGAAGGTGAATGGCTGAAGCTTGGGAAACCCTGTCTTAGTCTAATCTCTCATACTTAGCAGATGAAATGTAGGGGCTAGAGTTGGTAAGTCACTTGCCCAAGGTCACAAAGAGACTTAATGGCAGAAGCCAGACTAGACCCCTCATTAGCAATGTGGCTCCCCTAGCTTGGGGTCTTAGAAGACCCATCTGGAGGAAAGGATAGTAGCCGTCCTCCCCTGAGGAAGTCTTAAACCAACTTGGAGGCCTGGGGATGCTGGGTCAGCAGAGAACCTGCAGTGTGGGCTCCAGTGTTAGACAAGGGATTTGTCTGGAACCTTTACTGGAATCCCATAGCTTTAGACCCGGAGGAAGAGTGTTGCAGCCCTTCCATAGGTAACGAGAGAGTGTTCTGGCTGAGTATTGACACGTGGCTTTGATCCCAGACTCTGAAACTGGACCACCCAAAGATAGCAGCCTGGCGCTGGGGCCGGAAGATTGGAAAGCTCTACAACAGCTTGTGCCCAGGCACTCTCTGCCTCATCCTGCTGCCAGGAACCAAGAGGTATGGACTGGAAAGGGTATCCCTTCAGGACTCTGTCCCCTGGATTTCAGCTGTTCTTAGAGAAAAAGCCTTTTGCTGATGTTTAGGTCCATAATGAGGACTTACATGAATCACCTCTTTAATTCTCACAGTTCTAAAAGATAGGCATTGTATTCCCATTTCACATTTATATGCTCTTGTATAACTACATATATTGGTCCCTCAGGGAGATAACTTATCCCCAGTTAAAACCAGGGGTCTTATGTCCTTCTTACTCCTCTCTGGAGAAAGAAGTAGCTGCTAACCCCACTTGAGTAAAAAAAGTAAAGTCTCAGAACAAGCCCTAGGCTTAGGTGTAACCTCCCCGCATATGAGGAATGTGTTCCTGCCTTCTGTACCTTTTTCTCCATTGACACCTCTGTTTTAAGAGATAACAGGGCCTGGTTTGCTGATTCTAAGCCTGAGGAATACTGGAGCAGGACTCTGAGTCTAGTTCCAACTTTATCACCTGTCTCCTCTGACAAGTGGCCAAGCTACTTCCCCGCTATAGATCTCAATTTCCTTTCAGTAACATGAGGGATTTGGAATAAATCAATTGATTTTCAAACCCTTTTAATTGTAAACCGTTTCTTTAAAGAAAAACCAATATTAAATCTTAAAGCATAGAGACGGGCAGTTTTGGAATGAGTAAGTGGGCAGCTAAATGAATGAGTGTATATTGGGGGAGGGAGGGAAAGATGGTAGCTTTTTTGAACAGTCTGAAAACCTTGGATTGTGTTAATTTTAAAAAGTTCCTTGAGATTCTGACATCTAGCTAGGTACAGTGGCTCGTGCCTATAATCCTAGCACTTTGGGAGGCCAAGGCGAGCAGATCACTTGAGCTCAGGAGTTCAAGACCAGACTAGGCAACATGACAAGACCCCATCTCTACCAAAAATACAAAAAAGCAAAAAAAAAACCAAACAGCCAGGTTTGGTGTTGTGTGCCTGTGATCCCAACTACTTGGGAGGCTGAGGCACGAGAATCACTTGAACCCAGGAGGCAGAGGTTGCAGTGAGCTGAAATTGCGCCACTGCACTCCAGCCTGGGCTACAGACTGAGACTCTTGTCTCAAAAAAAGAAAAAAAAAAAATTTGACATTCTAGGAGTTGATAAGAGCATGAATACCTCTGGCCTTGAAGCTGGATCAGAAATTCATTTCCTAGCATAAAGTTATTGTAACATGCATCTGAGGGCCATTAGGGAGATGGTCTACCTACTGGGTAGGTTGAAAGAACTGCTTTCTCTGAAAAGCAGAAACAAGTATTAGGTGTTTACATTGAGAGGGAAAAAAACATCTTAGACCAACATACTTTAAACAGGCTTGTGGGTAAGCTAATAGGAACAGGGTAAAAAGTGCCCACAAGTTGCCAGTAAAAGCTTTTTGGTAAAGATGTGTGCTCTGGGGAACAGAGAGACTTGTCCTTAGGTAGCTCCTCAGGGGCAGTGTTATGGTGGTAGGTGGACTGGGTTTTCATGTTCCCACGTAGAATACTTAAATTGCAGTCCACCATTGTTTAGGTAAACTAAGTCAAGAGTAGCCCAAATCATTGTTCTTCCTGGATGTTCCACAGAGGGTGAAGCCAGAGGAGGAAGTGCTGGGGTCAGGGAGCAAAAACACTTAAGTTGTGACTGAGACAAAGATCCTCAGTCTTTGTCTGAGTTTGTTTGACAAGTTAGGAGAATTAAGCCCCTCTGGAAGCAGCAAATCCTGTGGTGAAGAACCTAAACTACTCCTATCCTTTAAAAGTCGTATTCTGATTTCTGTGGACATACTGATCAAACTCAGCAGCAGTAGCATGCATTTCCCCAAGCTGTGGAAGCTTGCTGTGTGACTGACTTCTCTGGGCCTTGTTTGTGCAGCTCTGTCCGTGATGGCAGCAGATACTCTTGGGAAACATTGGGAAAAAAGGAATAGCAAAAACAATAGAAGGTTTCCTTAGGCTGGGGTCTTGATGCAGCTTTTAATCCTTACATTTTTGGTAGCTTCTTAAATTAATATTGAAAACAACAGTAATTTATCAAACCCAGGTACTGTGCTAAATATCTTTATATGCATTTTTGGTTGAGGTTGTTAGAATCTTTATTTAACAAGTGGAGAAAGTCTCAGATTAAGCAATTTTCCTAGGGTTACACAGCTAGTAAGTGCATAGTCAGGACTTGTACCCTGATGGTGTGTCTGACTCCAAAGCAACTCTCCTGCCCTCAAAGCTCTAGTTCTCCATACACAAAAGTCTAGTGTTTGAATGTTTAAGTTCAGACATCAGGTGGAGACAGATTCTGTGTTTGTCTTTCCTCATTTCTACCTGCTTTGCCTCAGAGAGCTCCTCAGCTCTAACCCAGTTCCATGAATATGAATTACAAGGTGGCAGGGAACTAATAAATGGCTCCTAAATTCAAAGCACCATGCCAGGTTTTTTACAACAAACATTATTAAATAAGTTAATGTTTTGTAATGTTTTTTAAACAGCCCCCGGCAGCTAGCAGGTGCTACAAAAGTATGGAATGAACAAAGACTAAGATGCTTTAACAGCAACTTGTAAGGGCTCTAATGACAGATTGCTATTATTGATATCCTGGTTCTGTCACTTAACAGTTGTGTGACTTGAGCAAGTCATATAATGTCTATGAGCTTGTTTATTTTTTAAATGAGGATAACACTTGTACCTACATCAGTGAGCTGTTTTGAGGATTAAATGAGACAAGTGCTTAGAACAATTCTTGGCATGTAGTAAGTGCTCAGTGTATGTTTGCTATTGCCGATAGTCTTCACCAAAATCCCTGTGAGATAGTAATTTAAATATTTCATAGTTTTATAGATGTGCCTCATATCTCCTAATTGGTAAAGGTAGGATTTGAATCTAGACCTCTGAGACTCATCAGTGCTTTTTCCATTAAACTATCTTCAGCAGGCAGCTTTCCATAAACCTTCCTGCCCTTGCCTCATGGCACACACACAGGTACTTGGAAAAACATCTTCTCTAACTAGGCATTTATAACCATTCATTCAACCTTATGGATAAAAACCTACCTTTGTTTCTTATTTATTGCAGCACTCATGGTTCACTCTCTGGCCTAGGACTGATGGGAATAAAAGAGGAAGAAGAAAGCACCATCTCAGGCCTGTGATCATGAGTCGGCCTACCATGTTTCCATGTGCCATTTCTTACCCCTTGTAGGCAATGGCAAAGAATGTGGTCAGGCTGTAGTCTCTCCAACCAGCAGACAGCTTTTGTGGAAACTTGGTGTAGCAGCTAAAAGAGTTTAGTTTGTTTATATGGCATGTATACGTTTTCAATAAATGCCTAAAGTTCAAGCATAGTATGGGGGTGTCCACAGATTGTTTCTTTGTGTCATTGAGTTTATGTGCATAGGCGTGGTAGCAGGTACTCACTCCACGTAGCACCCCTATTACGTGGTATATTCTGGTAAGGAAACCAAGAGGACTGACTGCTCTGCAGAAACCCAGCCAATTAGACAATATGTCAAAGTTGTAATGTCTGTGAAGCAAATTTCTTTAAACTGTTTTCTTATTGACAGCTCTTATAAAATTGAAGGGCAATGATAGGCTGAACTGAAAAATCTGGCAAGTCCACCAGGCAGTGGAGTGGAAGATTCTTTTAGTTTTTTTAAGCAGCCCTGGAAACCCCTTCCATTCCACGTTTAGGAATCCTTCCCTTCAGAACATGACTGCAGTGCCACCCTTCACCAGTAGGTGCCTCCATCACACCATCTCTCCCCCTAGGAACTGGAAACTTGAAATTCAGTAAAAGCCGTTTTAATCAACTCTCAAACTGGTAACAATCTGTGTTGGAAAGGACATGGGGCATAGGCACCCAATTCCAAAACTAGTAGAGATATTAACTGCCCTCCAGAAAAGATGAATCTGGCATACAGTATGTATCATACCCAAAAACCTCATAAATTGCTCCATACACTGAGACCCTGTAATTCTACAGCATTGTCCTAGGGTACTAGGATCGTTACACAAAAACATGTAATGAAGGAGATATCACAGGGTTATTACAATGGAGTTATAGATAGCCAGTTCTAAAGTGTGTGTGTGTGAGAGAGTAAAATCTTCAGTGAAAGAGATCTTCAAGAAGAGGCAGTAGACCTCTAGATCCAGAATGCTTGACTTTGAATCCCAGCTTTTTAAATCATTAGCTGTGTGAACTTGAATATTACTTAACATTCCTGTGTCTGGAATAATGGCATGTATCCAGAGGATTACAGATTAGTGAGATTATGTATTCACAGTACTGTATATTATTTGTTGTATGAAGTCTGGAGGGATACAGAATAGCATGTAGTTTGAGTCCACTTTTGAGGGATACAGAATAGCATGTAGTTTGAGTCCACTTTTGTAGGAGAAAATATACAAGTTATACATAGGCTTCTAACAAAACCTGCAAGGCTATATGCCAAAATGTTAACAGTATATATCTACGGCTAGTGGCATTGACAAATTAGGTTTTAACAAATGCTTTTCTGTTGTAGACTCGACTTTTTTCTTAAACATTCAATATACATTGCTTTTATAATTGGAAAATAATTCTTAACAGCTGCTGTCAGGAGAAGAAAAGAAGAAAAAGATAATTCTACTTAAAATTAACTCTTAGGGTTGGGCAGTTGGAGCAGTGTTTCCTGTAAATGTAGCTTCATAATATCTGGTCCTATATGAAAGTTTAAATGTAGCTTCTGTAAGATCTGGCCCTATATGGAACCAGAACTGAAGAGCTTGACTTGGGGTCAGACACTGCAACTTGATTCAAGTCCCTTCATCAGAAGGAAAGTTCCCTAGGTGAACTGCCAACTTCTGCTGCAAGGCCCTGAGAACTTGAAGCTGACAAGTGTTGTTGGGTTCCTTCCTGCCCAGCTGAGCTCCAAAGCTGTGAGAGCTTAGCTGCTGTTTACCTCTTGAGGCTGAAGTCTTCAGAGACAAATTAAGTGCCTGCCTTGAATATGAACAGGCCTGGGTTGGAGCTTCACCTCCCACACACACCTGAGTATTTGGGGGCAAGTCACTTAACCTCATTTGAGGCTATTTCCACAGCTGTGTAAAATGAGGAAATAACTACTTTTGATTATTGAGACATTTGTGGAAAATGACACAGTAATGCACTATGTGTGAATTATTTTCCCTCTCTGGGCCTGTTTCCTCACCTTTAAAATGGGGGAAATTAGTACTTCATAAGGTTATGAGGATTAAACTAGGAAAAGTCAAGATTGAGTGCTGAATGACATACTATTTTACTAAGGATCATCTCCCTGTACCAAGAGCACTCCACTTGCTCCCAAGAATAGCCAAGGCCATCTTTTTCTTAGGAGAAAGGGTAGGGCTGGAGGTTTCCCCAGGGATCCAACTCCAGAACTCTGCAGAGATGGGCCTGCACGACAAGGCCTCTGAGACTTCAGTCTGCACACTCTGTTCTTTCGCCTGATGCTCCACCTTTTGGAAGCCAAAGCTGCCAACTTGGCCTCTTGCAAAACACACATTCCATTCATAAGTGCGTTTGTGCATTTTTCCTCCCACACCCTTCTAGGCAGCCAGTGCAGAGCTGCCAAGGCAGCTGCTGGAGAAGCAGCTTCTTATGGAGGAAAAGCAACTCCAAGGGCTTTTACAGAACTCATGGTTTAGGCTTTGAACACATTACTCCCATTTTCTGGTCTCCTTGCCCATAGTGGGGTTGTTCATTTCCTTTTGCCCCCCTTTCTGTAAATAACCTCTTCCCTATTATAAAGGAAACCTATTAATGAAAATTTGAAAAATACAGAAAAATTTAAATCACAACTGATCCCACCATCAATGGTCAATGACTGCCAATATTTTATAATCGATCAACTTTTTCCATGATGATAGAAATTCTATTATTCAAAAGCAGAGTATAACATTCTAGCATTGATGTATGCCATAATTTCTAAAGCAGTCCCTTTTGTTGACATTGAAGTTGTTTCCAAATGATGCTGCTGGTGATATCCTTGCACATACATCCTTGGAGATTTTTTAGGAAGAAATCTCACATGCTTTTAACTCCAGAAAGGCTTTTACTGTTTACTAGCATAGATTTGCTTCAAATTTTTGCCAATATGTTTTTCATTGTATATTTAATTCTACTTATTTGAATACCCTTTAGAGTGGCATCCTGCTTTTTTCCCCAGAAGCTTTTTGGTAAATTATTTTTCCTAAGTGAGTTGTTCATATCCTTTGCCATTTTTCTGTTGGGAAGCCAGGTCCTTTTCCATACTGAATTAAGAGCACCTTATGGATTCACTATAGTGTCCATTTATAAACTATTACAAAATTTTAGTTTGCTTTTTAAGGTACATCATTTTATGTTTAGTCTTTTGTGATTTCTTCTATTTGCTTTTCTGCTTAGAAAGCCCTGACTGATCTCTGGATCCAATGACAAGTTTATATATTTCAATGATTTAATGTCTATACTTCATAGCCTTATTTTTCTTGGAATTTATTTTGGCATGTAATAACTTACTCCCAAATATTTAGATAATTTTACCCAATTATCTAGTTTTACTTACCCAATGAAGGACGAGGCTCCTTTATAAGTCCACGTGTATACTAGGGCCAGTATTCATGTTTTCTGCTGTCTTGTCATGTAGCAGTACCACACTATTGTACAGCTCTATAATGTACTAGCAGTTTTAGCAGCAGCACCCCAGATAAGCACAGGGCCCATGGAGAGTACCCATCAGCATGGATTACAAAACACTGTAGAGTTCAGATGCTTTGCTGCTGACTGCACTGGTGCTGCTACATTCCACCAGGACTTTTTCAGCACCCCTGAGTCAAGAGATGGGATAAGGGTCAGAACACTGGACAGAAGATTAAACTCAGGTAGGAGCCTTATATTTTTAAGACAGGGCATCCTCAGAAGTTGACATAAAGGAAAGGAAATGGAAAGGTTAGGCAAGCTCCCTAATCTTATCAGGCAGACTAACCCTTTTTGACCTACGTCAAAACTGAGAGCTAGAAGGATGACTCCCAGAGCCAATCCAGCCATGTGCTTCAGCAACTGGATTTGAAAGGAGGAAAGAAGCCAGTGTTGCAACTTTCATACTCCTCCGACCCTGAGCACTACCTTCAGTGCACCTTTCTTGCTAGAAAGCATTCCATGTGCAGTTAAGCTCATCTGGTAACTAAGTGAAGTTGTTTGCCCATCATCTAATTGAAAATTGGATTTTAGCTGTAATCTATACAGCCTGTGACGGCAGCACTTTGAATAGCCCAGGCTCTATACAAGCCCCCAAGTCAGTATCCTTCCACTTTATTCCCCAAACTTATTTGTAAGGCTCTGGCTGGGCTCCGTCACGCAGAAGTGCCAAAGCACAGAAGAAACAAGCCCACGAGCCAACTGGGGAATGCTTTAGAGGCATACTTTTTAAGTGAGGAAAACATCACCCCTTAGATTTCCTTCCAGCCCCCACCGGGTCCTGTCCTTAGTAATGACAGAGGAAGAGAAAGAGTTCCAGTTCATTGAGGAAATCTCAGAAACCTCTCCATAATCAGAGAATGTAGACATGACTTCCAGAGCCTTTGCGACTGAAAAGTACACCTACTCCCACCACCATACTTATTTATTTTTACAAAATACCAACATGAGGCTGGGAATCTTTGGGGAGGCCATCAGGGCCTCCATGAAAGAAATGTGTAAGATGACCACTCAAGAGCTTTCCTGAATGTAAACAAGTAGGCAGAAAATACAATGGAAGGAAGCTAAGGGTCTTAAGTGGTCTAATCATCATACATCTAGAGTGTTAAGAGGCAGATGGGAATCACGGATCACGTTAGTCTGAGCTTCTTCCCCCATCCCCAATTTGGCACAGAGGAAAATTAAGCCCCTAAGAGGGGCTGTGACTTGTGAAAGGTCATGTATGACCATGCCAACCCCCCTCTCTTATTCTCTGGTTTCCCTGCATTACTCACCTAACATTCCTTTGGACAACCTTAAAAGAGCTTGTAATGTTTGAGCACTTATGTGTCATTGGGACTTTATCAAGACTTTTAAAATTCTAGCACTCTGATGGAAGCAAAAGCCTTTTAATTTTGGAGATGAGTAAAAGGAAACTTAGAGGTTCACTAACTTGCCAAAGGTCACACAGCAGTGGCACTTGAGTTTAAGCCAGATACAGCTCGTTTCCTTTGCCTTAATCACTGCCATACTGTTAAATCTAGGGGTCATGCATTTAACACAGTGCTCAACTTCGCTTTTTATTCCTCATGAGAATTCACATTAGTTGCTAAGGTAAGACTATTTAGGCAGTGGCCCTGTGAAGACTTATTTGCTCTTTGCCTCTCAGCACTAAGACCCCCAAAAGCCACTCTATTAATATTAAGCTTGGTATGTGGGAGGTTAACACCCATGTTTGGAGTCTGAGGATCCTGTACTTATCTGGATTGTTTTTCAAAGAATAAAAATTGTCACTCAATATTATGTTGGTAGAAGCTCCCAGTAGGTAAATTTTGCCCCAGAATAAAGTCACTGTTTTGTTTTTGTTTTTGTTTTTTTTGTAGAAATATCAATAATCAAGTAAACAAATTTATTAAATCCAACAGCAGGTAACCGTCCAAATAAAAAACATTAAAGGAAAAAATGTAGACATCAAAGACAAAAATGTGTGTAACAAGTCAATAAAAATACTCAAGGGGCCATTTGGAGAGTGCAACAGTGCAGAGAATACAAACAAAAGTATTAACTTTTGTCAAGTTTGTACAACCTCAACAAACAGACACACTGGTCACAAACCAAGAGGGATCCACAAAGGTGGAGGGTCACATGAGCAGTGGACTCATCACCTCAGCGGCTTAAGGCAGGGTATATCTGTGGGACCAATTCATCCAAGCCCCATTTGCCTATTGCTTCACATTCCCCCTTTAAAACCTAGAGTCATATTCATTAGTGCAACAGGTAAGAGCAATTAATCACAGACGGAGCTGGGGACCAGGGTCAGAGGGAAGACACTTCTCCCAGAGCAAATGTATGCGTGTCGGGGGAATGAAAAACCCCAGCAGCTGCTGAATGGCTTCCTTTGGCAATATCCAAGATTTGTGTTGAAAGGAGCAGGGAAGTTGGATGGGTGGCAGAAGTAGATATCTATGAGATAGGCTGGGTTTCCAAGAAGAGAAGAATAGGGAGGACATGATGCCCAGCACCTGAATCAGAAGCAGAACCCAATGGTTATGCAAAGCTATTTGAACTATTTTGGCTTCTGCAACCAGTGCTCAAGAATCTATTTCGTCTTTTGAAAAGGGAGAAAACCCCTGCTGATCTTCACCAACATGCAGTCCCAGTCCAGTTTAAACTGGATACGCAATTACAGCTTATCATAGGAATAAACTCTGAAGGGGGGTGGATGGGAACCTTTATATGATCTGAAAACACACTGTGGAGTAAGAGGAGGATCAATGTCGCATTTCATCAATGAGTCCCAATTAACACAATTCAACAACCTTCATAGTTCTTTCAGTCATTTAAACAAGATACTGCTGTAGTCCTCCTCCAAGGAAGACCCATCATTTACCAAGATGTTCAAGTCCCCTAAGGAAGACCTTTGTCAGTTACCAAGATGCTCAAGTCATAGCTAACCAAACATGAGAGACAAGAAAAATAGCAAAGCAGTCAAGTAAAAGGCAACAAAAACCTAGCAGCAGCTTTCTTCCATGCCTTAACCTTATAATTGCATAACTGAGTCTACCTTTTGGGCTTCACTGCACTGAAGACCTCATTTGGAATCTGGCAAACCAAACACTCCTAAATATATAGGTTGGTGTAAAAGTAATTGTGGTTTTTGCCATACTTAATGGCAAAAACATACATAAAGTATGGCAAAAACTTACTTTTGCACCGACCTAACAGATCTGTTTTGGTTTGTAAACTTTTAGACAAGTTCTTATCCCAGTAACTTCCCACCACTGTTCAATACAATTTGGCATAGTATGTAGCACATGAGGCCATCAAGTGTACTATGGGGTCCCACACCCTGCAGCCTCCAGCATTCGGCACCAGTCCCTGGAGACCAGTACTGCTTCAAAGACTAATACTGTGTGGCTTAATCCTTTCTCCCTTTCCAAAAAGACTAGTTTGTGCCTTCCTTGGGGAAGCTTAATACTGAAAACACTGCCTTGTATGTTTTCAATTGTTATTTTCCTGGGCCCAGGGTTTGGTTAAAATTTAGATCTTTACCCAGCTCTAGATTCATCTTCCCTTATCAGAGGGGCAGACGTGGGTTCCTGGACCCAACTCACACAGGTAGGCAGCACTTCAGCTGCTGAGACGACGAGCTGAAGCATAGCAAAGCCGCTTACAGGAGGTAGGGTTAAGAATGATACATTGAGATTTGGCAAAGATGGGGGAAAGAGCAATTCAATGAAGCAGCACGTTATCTCACACCATCTTTCTAATAAATTGCTAAAGAAACATCACAAAAGCTTACAAAGCCATTTGTCAAAACCGAGTTGTTTCTTATTTCCCAACACACAGCTTGTTGTCGTCCTCAGCTGTTGCCAATTTCCAAAGTGGCATCCATATCCTGCCCCTCTCCACATCACCCTGATGTTCTATTGCTAAGCAAGGAGTGTACTGGCTTACCTGAGGGGCACACATTCAGCCTCTCACACAGACTTACCACTCATTAAGTGGCAAACCTATTTCTACGTTGAAGGGAACAAGGCTTTTCATTTCCCAGAAGTATAACTTCAAACCCTACACACACCTCACCTTGGATCCCTTTGCAGAAAAACTGCATTTCTTGTGGTCATGAAAGAGTCAAGCATTGGCCCAGAGCGACTGCAGAAGCTTGAAATCTTTGCTGGACATCAAATACTCAAACTTGGAAGGAACTTGTAAGTTCCTCCCTGACTGCTCCCTTTTCTGGCTTCTCATTTGCAAATGGATCAATATAACCAAAAAATAACTAAATGGCTTTTTTGGTGGGGGATGAGGAGGCTAAATAGTTAATTTAAAAAACAACAAAATCCACCCACTCTAGTACACGTAATGCACGGAATGTCTTCTTAAAGGGTGGGGAAGGAACCTAGTTTCTCTACTCAGGGTCCTGGGCTGCCTCCCTCTTTTGCACACTTCTCTCTGATACACCCTGATCTGGGATGGAAAGGGCCTTACCTGGCCAAGTGCAGCCTGCCTTTTCCCTCAGTCAACCACTACCCAATCCAGAACCGAGGAAAATGAGTTGCAAACGGCTTAATGAAACAGCAGTCTTTTTAAAACCTCAGTCTGGGTACCCAGCTACAGCTGATCCCACAGAAACTGCTGGGACCTCTGGAGACTTACTCCAGAGCCTTATTTAGCTAGAACAGAAGCCAGGCATCTGGCCCAAGACCCCCTCCAGCTTTCTAGCAATACTATATCATGAATGATCTTAAAGTTTCCCATTTGCCCCTCTAAAAGAAAAAGTGACGGTTTTGGTTTTTAAAAAAAAAAAAAAAAAAAAAAAAAAAAAATTCCAAGTATGTTCCTTATAGCCAATATCAATTTTAGAAAAATACTGACTGCCAAAACTATTTAATAACCCTTAAGGTGGGAGCCCAGAGCTATAAGGCTGCTCACAATGGAACATGCAATTCCTGCCCAGGCTGAGAAACATACCTGGGACACAGCGGGGTATTATGTTAGGGGAAAAACCTCCAAATGTTTAATAGACAAAGTCTCATTACCTCAAGAGTATAAATATTTTTATAAGTTTTTATTTAAAAGATTCCCTTTTTAATCTGTTCCAAAGTGTTGGTAGCTGAACTATACAAGTTCCTGCCACCCATCCTTCCAGTACAGTTTTGTGAGGACATATTTTTTAAATGGAAAAATAACAGGAGGACCCTCTAACTGAAACCAGGTAGGACCAGAGTCAGTTCCTCAGGCCCCTGCGGCAGTCTGGCCAAAGCTGGCCTTACGAAGCGAGCGCGTGGAGAAGTCTGGGGAACCAGGCCCTCCCTCTTGTGAGGGAAGGGCTGAGCAAAACTCATGTTCTCTTTAGTGAAAATGGTCCAAATTCAGATCCAAAAGCCTCCATTATGGCATTCCCTGGCACTCTTCTTATACTTTATACATTGAAGGCAGCTCCCTCTTTTATGGCCAGTATAAGCAGGCAAAGAAACAAAGGAATATAGATACATATATGTGTATATATATATATTTTATATAGGTAAAATATATACATATTTTATATATGTATATATACATATTTGGGGGTAGGGAAAGGAGAGGAGGGTCATGTAAACCTAAACAGTCATCACATTACCCCAAATGAGCCTGACTTTAACAAAAAGATAATAAATAACTCCTGGGGGTTAAGTGACAACATGGGTGCAGCAAGAAGGGAAAGGGCACAAATTTAACTATTAAATACACTTTGATATTTGTTTGGCAGAGTTCAGGCCAACCCCAGGCTTCTGCCCTTGCCAGACAAGTAAGCTGATGATATTCAAAGAAAAAAATAAAAATATTAAAAAAAAAAATTCAAGCAGAGCTCCATACCACAGTTTTCCTTCAAGTCAGTTGGCCGGCAGGCAGTTTCCCGACCACCAGGAACAGAAACTTTGGCTCCAAGGTAAATGAAACAAACAAACAAAAAAAAGTATTTCCACTTACAACATGAAAATACAGAAACTTCATCAAAGAAAGAAAACTATCAAAGAAGTCTACTTCCAGCAAAACTGAGGTAGCACTGCTTTCTCTGCATTCAATGCTTAAGTGGTTCTCAGTACAACATGTTCTTAAAAAATGCTCACTTGACTGACAGGTGCAGCATGTTGATGGAAAAACTCAACATGAAATGCAATAGGTCAAAGAAGGAATGAGCAAGAAGTGAGGGAGATCAGGGAGATCAGGGTTCTGGATAAATTAGCTTAAAAGGGGGTTGTCACCAGACTACACATGCTCTTGGCTGGCCTTGGCTCTCCAAGAGTCTAAATCGCCTGGGAATTAATGCAATGTGGTTAACAGTTAACACTGCTATTCAAATCTGTGTAAATCTTTAAAAATAATTATTACAACCTAAATTCAACCATGTAAACAGCACTACACACAGTACAGACCTGCCCTGAAAAACAATATGCAAAACTGAGATCTGGCACTGCATCATTTTGTAATGTTAATTCAACCTAACAGTCCCATCCCCCTCCCTGCTCTATGCCCTCCCCTACTGGAAAAAAAAAAAAACAAAAAAAAAAACTAATTTGTGCAAGAAATGGCAGGCTTATTCTATCTGAAGGCTTCAAAAAAAAAAATACACAACATGTAACCAGGTTCAAATATTCTGGGAGATCCCCCCCAAAAAGGAAATAACCAAAATAACCAAAAAAATGAAGAAAGTGCCTAAAACATGATACAGCATTTTAGAGCCCTTTCAGATACAAGGCAGAGAAAGGTGTAAAGTAGAAAATATCCGGATCTTCAGTAATTTCCAAAATGGTCCAATTCCTCTCTTGGCTGCAGGGCAGCTGGCAGATCCTTGCTGCTGCTCCTGGGACAGAGCCATTAAGTCTGCTCCTCGGGACACAAGCCCTCGGGCCCTGAGCTGAGTGCACCTCTCCCTTCCCCTTCTCTTTTCCTTCGCTCCATTTCCCACTCCACAAAGGTATCAAAGAGACTTGGCCAGGCCTCATCTTCACTGTAGTTGCTGAGGTCAGGGCCAATCACCTGAGTGAAGTTAAGGAACATGTTCCAAGTGTCCCGGGAGATGCCCTTGATCCCCGAGGGGTTCTCTGTTAGGAAGTTTAGCCATTGGTCCAATACCGGAGGATTGTTCTGGGTAAAGACTAGTTTCCACAGGGCAATGGCTATTTCCCGATGCAGTGACCGCTGCCCTTCTTCAGAGTCCAGGCCAAACTGAAATGTAAACCGGTAGAGATCCTTGAATTTATCCTCTTGTTTGGCTTCTGTTAAGAGGCTAGGGAACCGTGCACAGATTCCGTCAATGCTGTCTGCACTTATTGCTTTGCAGCCATCAAAAAACTCCTTCCTGCAACAGAAAGGAAAAGGACAATTAATAATTATAAACTGTATTATTTACAGGCAATATACATAGTGATTAAGAGCAGGGCTTTCAGGCCAGATGGTCTGGATTTGAATTCTAACTCCTTCAACTAATTAGTCCTATTTCCTTATTTGTCAAATGGTAAAAATAACACCTTACTTCAAAGGGTTTTGGTGAGGACTAAACAAATTACTATTCTGCTTCTAACAGTGCCTGGCACACAGTTGGCAGCTGATAATGGTTCATTTATTCATTCATTCATCTTCCCAAAGCTAAACTCAAGTCTCCTGCTCCCTGCCCTGTTTCCCGCTCTGCAATAGTGATTAAGCTGCGGATTCTTTCCTTCCAGAGGATTCTTTCCTTCCTGCTTCCCTTCTGATTCTCTATGGATTGTTTGTTTGGGGTACACTTTTAGTGATTGCAAAAGGAGACTTCTGGAGCCAAGGATTCTGAACCTGGGTAATTCTATCACCAGAGATCAAAATTCTATCATTAAAAAACAAAAATTATGTATTTTTAACATCTATACAATGCTTTCAGCTTACAGCATGGTCTCGCATTGATCATCTTCTCAGGGACAGTAGCATCTGCTGAAGAGGTGAGGCCTCTGAGGTCTGGAGGGTAACCTTCCTGGGGTGGGGGCATGCAAACTACAAATTGTATGGCTGGGTCTCAAAGTCAGTTCTTATTCATAACCCCGTGTTCTACAAACCACATTCTATAGGGACACATGACCAGAACAATATGCACAGCTACTGCTTAGTAACTGAGGCCAACTGACCTTGTTACACACAGGCCTGGCCACGGGCGGGCAATACGCTAAGTACTAGAAACGGCAAGTGGCTTCTTGGAGGGAGAGAGGCATATCCCCTCCCCAGAGGCACTTACTGTATTGGTACTCACAGCGCCTGGCACATGCTGGGCATACAATAAATACTGAGTGACACGTAAAGGAGTAAAAGAAAAGAAAGGTCCAAGGCAGCAGTGGGGCTGAGCAGCAACTTGGCGACCTGGTTCACCCTGGCTTATTCCTCATTTAAGGCAAAGATGAGCAGTGACCAGTTACTGAGAAGCTGCCAAATAATGCTAGGATAGGCCTGAAATTTGACCTATGAATTAGGCAAAGGCATTATTCTGCACAAAAAAAAAAAAAAAAAAAGGGGTACACATTAGAACCAGACATGAATCTTTATCAAAATCCAAATCCAAATGCCCGGGTCTTCCCCCCTGAGATTCCTATTTAGTGGGTCTGCTGCAGAGCCAGGGAGATACATTTTAAACCTGTAGAGTCCAGAGGGGCTTCTCAGCATCATAACCACAACTTGGCTCAAAACATTTAAGCTTTAGAGAACCTGATCAGAAAAATAGAAACGTAAAAACTTACCCAAAACCCTATGAAGCCAACCCAGTCCTATCCTAGCTGGGTGCCACTGCTCACCTGGTGACACCAAGTGTTTGTGACTGACCTGGTGAATTTGCACATGGTTGCAGCCTGGAACTTCCAAGCCAAGAGCAGCACTCGAAATTCTGTGGGGTCGACACATAGGTCATTGCAAAAGCGCTCCATGCCTTCCTCCAAAATTGCATCTTCCCGCTCATCCTTGTAGCGCCTGAACAGTTCTTCCAACCTCTGCAAGGAAGACTCCTCGGCATTGGACTTGGACTCCCTCCCAGCATCTCCCGAGGACGTCGGCAGCTGGCAGGCCTCAGTGGCAGCCTCAGCCTTCTTGGTCCCGTTGACAAGGATATCTCCACCTGGCTTGCCACAGGGTGGTACCTGCTCCTCACGGTGGCCTGCACCCCGCCTGCTGTGTGACTTGTTGCTGGGGTCACGGTCTCCATTCTTGCTGCCCAAGGTCGATGAGGGATTCTTACACTTGGTGACACACTGGCCCATGGTGCTGGTGGCCCGGCCTCTAGAGTGGCCCCCTCTGGATCGGATGCCCTCGCTGCCACTGGCCCATGTACCTCAACATGCCATCAGCCAGAGGAGCCAGCCAACCTGGAAGGAAGTTAGAAAGCCATCACCTCTGGGCAGGGGAAATGGGGTATGGACCCTACCTTCTAGGGTGCGCAGTGGTTCACCACTCTATTTCCATAAGCCAACAACAAACCATGGGAGAGACCCCGAGTTCATCATCTCCTTCATAGGCCAGTTCTGTAACTTCACCTTGGCGACACAGTGGTTGGGGCATATATGGAGAACCAATGAGGACAATTCCTAAAATTCTTAAGGTAACATAGATTTCAAAGAGGCTGATTCATATGTAGAATGCATCAAAGACTACAGTTTGACAGAAATATTCCAGAGGAAATCTGTCTTGCCAACTTGCCATCACATAAGAAAAGTTATTTGGACCTGGATTAAGCCAGAAGGCACAAAGGAAGGGTTCATCTTCTAATTCCTAATGCCAGCGTCCTCAGATTTTCTTTTTCAGTAGGATGAGTAGGGAGGAGGGGTGGCCATATTCGGAACAATAGTCTCATAATGCCCTAACGATGAGGTTGTCAAGACTACAAGCAGGGGCCTAAGCCAAGCAGCAAAATGAAATTTGCCTCTGATCTCTCCAGATGCCTTTCTGGGCCTATCCCACATAGTAGGTGAAATGCCCTTTCTCTGCCCTACTCCATCCACCTGTAGAAACCATCCACCAAGCCTGTACTCCACACCAAGTTTCCCAACCGAGGAGCTTCTTTTTCTCCCCCAGGTCCTCAGCAAGGCTGTACTTAGAATGCAAGCCAAGTTCACAATAAATGTGATTGTCCTATAGGGCCTATAGGCTGAGTCTTCCAAAGAAGTGTGTCTCCACTTTAAAAGAAGGACTGGGACCAGTTGCAGTGGTTCACATCTGTAATCTCAACATTTTGGGAGGCCAAGGTGGGTAGGCAGATAGCTTGAGTCCAGGAGTTTGTGACCAGCCTGGGAGACATAGCAAGACCCTGACTCTACAAAAAAATAGAAAAAATTAGTTAGGTGTGGTGATGCACACCTGTACTCCCAGCTGCAAGGGAGGCTCAGGTGGGAGGATCAACTGAGCCCAGGTCAAGGCTGCAGTGAGCTGGGATAGCACCACCCCACTGCAGCCTGGGTGACAAAGTAAGACCCTGTGTAAAAAAATTGAAAAAATTACTGGTATAAAAACAAGCACACAGAATGGAACCGAATGGAGAGTTCAAAAATAAGGCCACACATCTACAACCATCTGATCTTCAACAAAGCTGACAAAAACGAGCAATGGGGAAAAGACTCCCTATTCAATAAATGGTACTGGGATAACCGGCTAGCCATATGCAGAAGACTAAGGCTGGACTCCTTTACACCATATACAAAATTCAACTCAAGATGGATTAAAGACTTAAATGTAAAACCCCAAACTATAAAAACCTTAGAAGACAACCTAGGCAATACCATCCTGGACATAAAACCAAGCAAAGATTTCATAACAAAGACATCAAAAGCAATCAAAACGAAAGCAAAAATTGACAAGTGGGATCTATAATAATTAAACTTCAGAGCTTCTGCACAGCAAAAAAAACTATCAAGAGATAGCAAAAGAAACTACGAAGAGATTCCTACAGAATGGAAGAAGAAATCTGCAAACTATGCATCTGACAAAGGTCTAATATCCAGCATCTATAAGGAACTTAAATTTACAAGAGAAACACAACCCCATTAAAAAGTGGGCAAAGTACATGAATAGACACTTCTCAAAAGAAGACATACATGTGGCCAACAAGCATATGAAAAAAGTTAAACATCACTGATCATTAGAGAAATACAAATCAAAACCACAATGAGATACCATCTCACACCAGTCAAAATGGCTGTTATTAAAAAGTCAAAAAAATAACAGGTGCTGGTAAGGTTGTAGAGAAAAGGGAACACTTATACACTGTTGGTGGGAGTGTAAATTACTTCAACCACTGTGGAAAGCAGTATGATGATTCCTCAAAGAGCTAAAAGCAGAACTACATTCGAACTAGCAACCCCACTACTGGGTATATACCAGATGAATAAAAACCATTCTGCCACAAAGACACACGAATGCGAATGTTCACTGCAGCATTTATTCACAATAGCAAACATGTGGAATCAACCTAAGTGCCCATCAGTGATAGACTGGATAAAGAAAATGCGGTCCATATACACCATGGAATGCTATGCAGCCATAAAAAAAAAACGAGATCATGTCTTTTGTGGGAACACAGGTGGAGCTGGAGGCTATGATCCTCAGCAAACTAATGCAGGGACAGAAAACCAAATACCACATGTTCTCGCTTATAAAGTGGGAGCTAAATGATGAGAACTTACGAAGACAAAAGGAAACAACAGACACTGAGGTCTACTTGAGGGTGGAGGGTAGAGGGTGGGAGGACAGAGAGGAGCAGAAAAGATAATTACTGGGCTCTGGACTTAATACCTGGGTGATGAAATAATATGTACAACAAACCCCCATGACACTTTACCTGTGTAACAAACCTTGACATTACCCCCAAACCTAAAATAAAAACTAAAAAAAAAAGTTACCAAAAATAAATAAATAAAAATGCTCAGAATATTCAGGAAAAAAAAAAGAAAAAACTGAAAAAATTGGGAAAAAATAGAAAAATAAAAGAAGGACAGATTTACCCAAATGCAATCTCTAAATGGTAGGATAATTGCTAAATGAAAAAGAAAAGTTTGTACTGATACATTACAAACTCATCATGGTGGTTTATTAATTATTTATGTAATTTAAACTTTTTTTTTTAAACAAATTGCCAGACGTTTCTAAGCCAGAAGCTAGGTGATTTCTCTAAGACGACTCTGGCTACTCAGGACTCTTATTCCTATCTTCAACCAGTTTGTTGGAAAACCCATGTACAATTTAGTATTTATAAAGCTTTGCCAACTGCTATAATGGCAGTCACTGAAATCACGTCGTTAATGAAATGTGGACCAGGAGCCAGAAGTGTAGCAGGAAACAGACACTAAACAGAAGTCAAAGTCAGTCACCCGGGCCTCTCCAGGTCTAGGGAGCTTTCATGGACGTCTATGATCCAAACTGAAAGATCTTAGAGAACGTACAGTGGGACAGAAGGGTGTTTTTTACGAAAGGCTGGAGCTTTAAACTTCGCCTAAAATACTTGGCTTCCTCTAAATAGTGCCTGGATAAATTGGGGGTCGTCTTCAAGAGAAATTCTCTGAGGATAAGCTCTGAGTATACAATAAGTTTAAAATGAAGAGCACAATCATTCCTGTAGTTATTAGAGATTAGTCATATCAAGGCCTGTCCCCTTCTCCACCAGCAAAGAGAACAATGACAAAAATACATGTCCAAACATATCCTCAAAGACTTGTAGTTTTACTTGGGCTTCAGAAATACACTGAAGCTCTTATAAGGGCTTTTGGTATGGAAAATAACCATCCTAAGTTTTTTAAAAGACTTTTTATGCTTTAAGACTACAGCTAGTAAGCCAAAGTACAACTCATTACAATTTCAAATGGCAAGGGGTTAATTCTTGGAAGACCATGGTACAAGGGAAGCAACTGTGTGAGCTGAATTATTTCAAAACAAGGACTGTACCATGTGGAGGGCCTGGTTTCCAGATTTGTGTTTCTAAAGACTAGAATGCTGAAAGAAACAAAAGGCCCAAACTTACACAAACCCCACATGCTCACAGACTGGCAACTCTAATTCCCAGGCACGCTGACTCACCAGGGTTTGCTGCTCAGCTCCTGCTGCTGAGGGAGGCATGGGCACCCAGTGAGATAAGAGGATTTCCTGGCCTCCATCTGACCCACCTACCCCAGGCCACTCACCCCGCCCCCACTGGACAGATGCTTCATCCTAGCAGCTTCCTCCAAATCCTGGCGCCAAGGCCTTCAGGTAGGGACAGAACAGATGGGACTCCCAAAGAGGCCCTAATCCCATTTAGCCAACCAGCCCTCCATGTAAGAGCATCTTTTGATTACCTGACACAGCAGAACCAGCTGAAACCTGAAAGCTTTTAACATGCCCAGCAGATGAAAATAGGGAGAAGAATATCAGTTTCAACAGATGATCAATCAGCAAATGCCTGAAGGTTGGATCCTTCTTCCATTCTGGTCCCTTTCTTTGAAATGCCCCCATTCCACTGAGTGTTGAGGCGAGTGGTGGTCTAAAGCCAGAAGAAAATATCTCCAGATCTGGTGCGTATGGTCCCCTGATTACTCCGATTACTGCCCAACAGTACCTTCTTCTGTGTCTGCCCCCTTCTCTGGGAAGATACTTTTGCTCTCCCAGAGCTTTCCCCAGGCTCAATCACAGTGCCCAGCCCCGTGGCCCAGGCTGGCAGCACTTCAAGTGTTTTAAAGTTGAAGGTCTCCCCTAGACTCACTAGCTGATGGCTAACGGCTAATAATAGCAGTCATCAATTATTGGGCACTTGATGCGGTGCCAGGCGCTATGCTAAGCACTTCTAGGGACATGAACTCACACATACTCATCACAGCCCCCTTTAAAAACAAGGAAACTGAGGCTGAGGAAACTAAATTACCCAAGATCACACATCTGGATCAAGATACCATGACATTTACCCCTAGGCTAGATTGCAGAGCCCACCCACAAAAGCAGAGCACCTAGAGAGAACGCACGACGGACCGGCCCCAAGTTCAGGAGTGACACCATAGCAACCCCAGAGCAGCAAATCTCACCATCAGTCACTGGAGAGAGAACACATCGTCTGCGCTCGGCGCTCAAGAAGGATCTCCTCCTCACTGCCCTCTTCCCAGGCCAGCCCTGCTGCAATGAACCAGGCAGACACCATGCACCCAGGCTCAGCCCCACCAGACGTGGAAACTAGAATTAGTCCAGATGCCCTAAACCTGTGACGTTTTTGTCCACCAGCAGAGTTAAAAGCTTCAGCTCTGAAAAGGATGCCCAACTGTGCCACTGGCTAATTGTCTGACCCTAATAGAAGCCTGAATTTCCTCAGTCTGCAAAATGGTATCTGCCTGACAGAGCTCTTGAAAGGATTCAGTGAGGGAATGCAGATAAAAGGTACATGGCTTCAGAGAAAACACTTGATACAACAGCTGTTACTGTATTAGTAGTAGTAGTAGCTCAGTAGTATCTGGTTAGCCTGTTGGAAGTCCCAGCTTACTCCATCTGAACAATGGGCTCCCAGCCTCAGATTCCACAGGCCCAGCTGGCCAGGACTTCCTACCCCCTGCACTGAGTCACTGGCCCAGGGCTTGTTCCAAAACCAATTATCTTGCCACAGCACTGATCCTACTCAAATACACCACTACCCAGTAATGCTTGGAGGACCAGACTCTCTACAGCACAGGATTTCCTTGTGATGGATCCTGAATAAAATCAAGCTGAGTATCTGCTGTGCCCAATGGATACTGAATTGCTATGCCCAGTCCCTAACCTGGAGCAGGCTTTCAGCCAGTTCCAAACTCCTTCCCCTCTCCACTTAGTCTCAACTCTGCAGATCTGCAAAAGAAAGGATGTCTAGCTCTCCACTCAGTTACTAATTGAATGGAACTGCCTTCCCAGTTGGTCCTCCTCCCCATCACTGCCACTTCTGAAGTGGACAGCCTAAGCACAATCTGGACATCCCGGCACTAAATTTTCAACAACAGAACATTATTAGTCATAAATATAATTTTGTATTTGTTAGGACATTACGAAAGCTATATATAAATGTAGCTCTGTGAAGCAATTACCCCATTTTACAGGAAGCTAAACGGAGACACACCAAGGTCAAGGAGCCTATCTAGGAATGGAGGAAACAGAAGCGCAGTGATGAAGAGGATGAGCTCAGACAAACCAAGACAAACCATTGCCATTGCCATGGCAATCTCACCAAATAAGTGGAACTGTCCATATGGAACTTTAAAACAGGGCAGCTGTACCTCAAAGCACTATTGGGTAGAATAAATGAGATAACACATGTAAATGCTCTGCTCAATACCTGACTCACAGAAAGCCTTTGGTTGGTAAGTGTTAGCCTCTATAATAGTTATAATTATTGTCACAACATTGGTGACAGAATCGTTTCGCTTCTCCTAGAACAGTGCTCTTTTTAGGAGCCAGCCCATATCTCCCGTGGCGATTCAGGTCTGCTCACAATAAGTGACCATTCTCCTGCATCAGCAAGGGGCACAAATGGGTTGAATGGAGCCAGAGACAAGGAGGGATGTGGAGAAAGAAAGGGCAGGAGAAAGAAGGAAAAAAAAAAAAACCCACAAACTGGGGAAACCTATTTCTAGGCTTTTTTTTTTTTTTCTTTTCTACTTAGAGCTTTGAATGTTTACCTGAAAGACCAAAGAGAGCAGCTCTGCTCAGCTTCTGCTGGACCAAGATCAGCCTCCAGCTTCTCTCCCTCAGTCTCAGCCCAGCTGCTCTGCCTCTCCCTCCCTCCTCTGCACATCAGTCTCCAGACTCTTTCCTCCCCTGTGCCAGCGCTGGCCGCTGTTCCTGGGGATGGGCTTGGCTGGCTGCCTGGTCCTAGGCCTGGAGCAGCCACTGCCGGGCCCAAAGGGCAATCCCAGAGGCCGCAGTCCCTGGGTTGCTCTAGCTCCAAAGAGGGATTAGAAAGTTGCTCCTATCTCCTAGGTAGACCATGAAATGACAACCAGGCAAGTCCCTATCTTCTAGGGGCTTACTCTCAACTGCGTCTTACACAACAGAACCACCACAGAGGACAAACCCACACTGAGACTCCGTACAAATGTAGACAGGAGAAGGAGAGAGAAGTGTGAACCACTATTACAGAAAGAAAGGTAGAGAGGGACGGGGGACGTGAAATCAGTATCTGTGGAGCCTGGGGCTACATGCTTCATATTCATCATCACCTTCAGGACTCCCAACAACCTCAAGAAATGAGTTGTTGCAGCTTTCCTAGATTAGGAAACAGGTCTCTTAACTACTAAGCAGTAAGACTGGAAAATAAAACCAGTCTGCCAGACTTTCTATGGGGAAGTTTCAGAGAGAAGGCAGGTCTTATTCTGGTCCTTAAATGTCTATAAGCATGAAATGGAAGGGAGGAGGGAGAGGGTTGATATGGTTAGCTCATGTTATTAAAGTACATTAATAACAATATTGTAAAAATAATTACATACATTTATTGATTATGAATTATCACATTTTATCCATGACTCTATAAGGAAGATAATATAATCTTCATTTTACAGAGGGAGGAAGTGAATAGAGCTTGAGAGAGGTGGCCTGAGATCACACAGCCAATCTGTGGAGGAGAAGGATTCAAATTCAGGCAGTCTGACTCTAAACTTGCCACTTTGCATCACTGGTCTCACTACTGTTCTCTGCTATGATGTGTGCATGCCAGGATATTCCCCTACCCCTAAGGAGGTACTGATGCCCCAAGAAGAAAATGTCCAACATCCTATCAACGCCTATGTATATTCCTGAAGAACCAAGTCAATATGAACAGAGTACACCCCCTTTGGTTCTGCTGTGAAATCCTCCTGAGCAATGTGTACTCTCGAGCAAGCCACTTAACCTCTCTGAGTTTCTGTGACCCCAACATTAAAGTTAGGGGTCTGGGTTAGTCTTTCCAAGGTCCAATATTCTGGGGCTACCTTCACCTTTTTTGGCATTCAATGAGGCCAAAGTTCTAAATGTGCAACCCTCCTGAGGACAGGCACTTTGCCTCCTTGGTGAACGGATCTCACAGTTCTCCTTGCCCAAGACTATCAGAGTCAAAGAAAAAGCATAAGTCCAAAAGCAGAGGGAAAGCAGGGCTACTCCAATCTGAACAAGGGTGGGATAGGAAACACTGGTTTTGCAGGCTTCCCGCTCCTTAATCATCTTAGTTTGATCTCTGGAGGGTCAGTAATAGGCCCAGACATGGAAAACAGACCCAAGCAAACTGACTGCTGAGGCTCGCTGGGTCAGGAAGCCCACTCAGAGGAATGTCTGTTGGCTACTGATGGACAGCCTGTCACCCAAGGAACAGACTTGTGAAATGAGGAGCTAAAAAACAGGAGGCAAATGCTGGCACCAAAAGTCAGTGTCAGCAAGACACTTGAGATCTGCTCTGAGGCTTCCTTGACAGAAGGGACCAATCCATTCCACTCCTCCATTCTGTTCCCATCTAGAATCTATTCAGCAACAAGAAACCACTGCCAGATGCTGGTGCTCCTACATATTAGCAATATAAAAAGCCCATCTTTTCAACTTTCATCTAAATAGTTTGTAGAGCTAGCTGGGTGCAGGTTTTTATTTCTTCCTACATATGCCAGATACCCAAAGGCCAGAGAACATGAGTACATGAATTCCTCAGACAGCTTTTCTACAGCTGCCAGGGGCTGAGGCGGCTGTACTGGCACAGCCATCCTCCGGAGAGTCTCACAGCAAGACCACAGGAGCCCCTTGATCCTACCTGGCAGCCACAGACTCTGAATGACCTGAGAAAAAGATGGAATATGGATGGTGTCCATTTGTAAACTACTTCCTAGAAAGTAAATGTGCAAAAATAACAAGGAAAGATTGAGGGAACACTTTAAATGCAGAGTTGCTGCTGCCACTTCCAACTTAAGACTTCAAAGATCACCTTTGGAGATTAGGTCTTACCCAGAGCTACTTGGGAGGGAAAGCCGATCCCTCTGCCAAAGCAAGCAAGACCCGTCTGCTTCTATTTTCCAGCTTTTAAAAGACTTTTTGTCCTAAAATGTACTGCAGCAACAAGCTAAGACAGCAGTTCCAGTTAGGGTTGGGGAGGAACCCATGACTTTTTACATCAACCAGTCTCAAAAGTGTAAAAGAAAAGAGGGAGGAAGTAAGGGAGAAAGAGGGTAGGGAGGACAGAGAAAACTTTTAAAAAAGAAAACTGGCTATATTTCTATAAAATCATCTTAGGTCACATGACTAAGACCAGCCAGTTTAGCACAGTCATTTCTTTTTGAAATTGTTCTCACTGTTCCTCACATTGCACCCTTTGAATACACTACTAAGAATATATATACGTCCAGCTGAGGCCTCAGGACTGAAGCCAGTGTGGGCTGGCTAGAACAAATGCCTACTTGCCAAGTACAGCCAAGTCAACAAACACACACATACTATAAAGTTTCCAAATACCAAATAATGAACCATTTTTTTGGTCTCTGGGCTTCCAAACTGAGCTACATGTTTAATCTCACATAACTCAAAATAACCAAAAAAGGGCCATATCATTTCACTGACCCACACTTGAAATATTACATGGGCATTTCTAACTACCCACTTATGTGCAAGGGGGGTATCAAGAAGGGGCACCAAATTTCTAGGTCACTCTTTGTTTTCACACCAGCTTTTCCAGTGACTTTCCCTGTTTAAAACAAGAAGGCCATCTTGGATTTGTGCTGCACTTCACTCTAATAAAAATGGCATGCCTGCTGCACTCTTCATCTCCAGTTATAAGCTTACAGCTTGTTTTATTCCTTAGGATGGAGCCTCAGTAGAGCCCACTGAAAGTAAACCACTGATTAGCACTAATACCCTCCTTCCAGTCAGCATATGGATATCAGCCACCCTGGAGGTTTACCTGATTGTAGCTGATTAGTCCTCAAAACACCCAATTACCACATCAACTGCTCATTTTTCAATCACCTTCTCAGGAACTTGGGAGTCAGCAACGGACTGAAAATTAGTGAGCTGGAGATAAGGTTAGATTTTTGCATCTAAGTAAAAGGCAAGAAAGGAAATTGTGAAATGAGTCCAAAGACGACGAAGGAACACAATATACAGATGATAAATGACTGCATCCAAATGTCTTAAAGGGCACCTGGATGACCACAAATGTAGAGATGTGGTTTCGGAAGCCAATGGCCTCTAAGCAGGCCTCAGGTTCACCACGTGGTAACCAATCAATCTCTTAATGCTTGCTAATTCTTAAAAAAAAAAAAAACAAAACAAACACCTAAATCCATTAAGACCACATTTATCAGCTTTTTCCCCACGATGGAGGCTGACTGCTAATGCATAGTAGACAGGAAGAGGCAGAGGGACAGAAAAGACCCATACAATAAAAGAATTCCTGCTTCCAACCACATCAGTCACCTGGTAGAAAAGTGAGGTCACTAGGATCTCTTTCCTGCTGGCAAATCCAAAAGTATTACATAATTATCTTGTGAAGTTTAGAAAGTACAGAGAGGCATAAAGGAAAAGAAAAGCCAATCACTAATTTCACCACCTACGGTTAATATTTTGGAGTATATCCTTTCAGTCTTGCTTCACCGTGAATCACAATCAAAAAGGCTAACCAGGCCAGGTGCGGTGGCTCACGCCTGCAATCCCAGCACTTTGGGAGGCCAAGGCGGGTGGATCACGAGGTCAGGAGTTCAAGACTAGCCTGGCCAACATGGTGAAACCCCGTCTCTACTAAAAATACAAAAATTAGCTGGGCGTGGTGGCACATGCCTGTAATCCCAGCTACTCGGGAGCATGAGGCAGGAGAACTGCTTGAACTAGGACCCGGGAGGCAGAGGTAGCAGTGAGGGAGATTGCGCCACTATACTCCAGCCTGGGCTACGGAGCAAGACTCTGACTCAAAAAAAAAACAAAAAAAAAAAAACAAAAAAACCTAGTCAATCCACTGATTCTGGCTCTAGGGATTTTAAGAAAGTGTTTTTAAATGACGGGGGAATGGGGAGAAAACCAGCGTAATCCTAAGGACATCTTTCACTTACATCTAAATTTCCTCAATTTATTCTTTCAAAAGAAGATCAACTTCCCCCTCACACTCCCTCCAAGGAAAAGAAGAGGACAATGATGACCATCTTAAGGTCTAATGAGTAACAGTCCCCTTATCAAAGGTTTAACATCAGGGGTAAAAGGGTCTGGCCCATGGATTGAGTGATTCACATTCCCAGGGAGCAAGAGGCTCATTCAAAAGAGAAATGTGGAATGCCTGGAAATGGTCAATGGGCTGGATTTAGTGTGAAGACTAACATGGGCTTTCAAGCCACAGACTGGGTCAAAGAACAGATTTGTAGCAGACGTGTCTGTCTTCCCAGTATCCAGGCTCTTCATCAGGTGATTACCCAATTTTCACCAGCAGATCCTTTTCCCTCACGCATCCATATGGCTGAGTGGGGTTCATAAAGAACTATGGGACTCAGGCCCACCAAGGCCTAACATGACCCTGGCTTTAATGACTGGATCCAGGATATGCCCATGACAAGCCAGGCAGAGAGAATCTCAACACTGAAAATACAGGAGG